TTTTGAATTTTAAGATATGAGTTAATATTAACTGAATTGTCCGAAAATAAGGTAGATAATAAATAAGGGATGATCACACGTCGATCTATCTACCTTAACAATTTCTTCGATTTTTTTTTTGTTTTCTTACTCAGCGACCGTAGTTGGCCACCCGGATCAAGTGTCGTCATTGCAGGCGGTTCTGTAACGTTTAAATTCAGCGCACTGGTATGCCACTATAAAATAAGACGGAGCATTGTCTGTCAAAGCAGACTGCAGTTCTTCAAAAACACTACTTCATAGAAAAAATTTTTAGGCAGAAATGTTTAATAACAGCACGAGTTCGAGTTTCTCCATTTTGCTTATGAATAAAATTCGTTGTTTTCAATAAAATTGTGAAGTTTGAAAAAAATATTGCATACAGTTCTTAATTTTGGATATTGTTTGCTAGTTTCAGCTACTAATGAATTTAACGTTTGAAAAAAAAACAAAGATATAATTAAACGAATTTATTCCCACCAAATGTGAAGCTTGAAAAAAACAATGGATATAGTTTTTAATTTTGAATATTTTTTCTATTCTTGGCTACTAACGAATTTAAGATTCGAAAAAAACTAGAAGGCATTTCTATAACTCTTTGATACGAGTAAATGTCATATTCCGAAAATTTATTGATCAACCGATCAATAATTTTTAATTTAGAAATACAAAGAGTCTAAGTACCTATATTATTACTTGACGTAATAATATAGGTACTTAGACTCTTTGTAAACGGTAAACTTTGTAGGGCACTTTTGATCTTCGAAAACCATACATATAAAGCTAATTAAATATTTATTTATTATTAATGTCTTTATATTATGTTAATAAGAAGATATAATAACCAAAATTTTCAATTAACGGCTTAATTTGTTACTTTATTTATGTACTAGGGAACAATTATACGTGAAATGGTTACTAAATTAATTTAAATAACACTTCGACATTCTTCCCCGAAAAGAGGGTTTTTCGAACTTTTGGACTTTTTGCTCGTTTGTTACCCTTATTCTATAAAAAAAAGCAATATTGTCGCATGTTACAAAATAGTATTACCGTTACCTTTACAGTATATCAAAAGCCCACTGTAGATTAAAGGCCTCGACAATAGATTGCCACATAGGGTGAATATTTGCCATAGTTGCAGCTAGGGTTCCCAACCCTCCCGGATTGCCCGGGAGACTCCGGTAATAATGGTTAATCTCCTGACCTCCCGGGGTGCAATAATTTCTCCGGTTTTAAAAGGTTTCCGGTTTTTCTAAAAATTATACGCATCTGTTGCTACTCCGGCGCCGCTGCCGGTGTAAATCTGTTTACGTTCGTCTCGTCTCGTTGTCGACGTTGTCGAATCGGCGGTGTGTGTCTCTGTCACGCACGCCACGTGCACCTCGTGCGCGACAGAGACAGACACGGCTGATTACAGTACTTCCCCAACTTCATAAATATTAGATGCTACTCGAAATCTAAGTAAATATAAATTTAAAAATTAATAAATAATTGAGATTTTCTTTCAATCCCTTACTCGATTTTATAATGTTTTCCCGAGTTGGTCCTTTCGAGAGTTGGTAACCCTAGTTGCAACGCTAGGCAGACAGTTGACCGCAGTTTTTTTTTTTTAATTTAGGTACCTACATATTTGTTATCAGAAAGACGGTGCTGCTGGTAGGGTTGCCAACTCCCGTTTTATGTTTTAGAGGATTTGATAAAATTATTAAATAGAATGACTTAAAGGATATCATGGATAACATTTTGTTATGGTATCTGTAGCGACATTTATTAATTTAAAAAAAAACAATGTTAATACGCAATGTAAAGTAGTTTGACTCTAACATCGCGCGTCACCTTTTTTACGCGTCACCTTTTTTAATCTCTGACGTCAACTAGCACAGGGAATATCGAACACGCGCGATATTGTCTTGTCCACTATCAAAGATTTTAAATTAAGGGACAAGATAAATTTTTGGGTCTGAAATAGAAGACTTCCCTTAAAATAAAGGATTTCTAACTCTGGCAACCCTAGGTATTGTATATTCTTACACCGTCAATACAGTCTAAAGTATTTAATTTTAAAATTAGGTAGGCTTCATTAAAGAATCTTTTATCTTACACATGTTTTTCCTGGTCAATAAATTTGTTACATTTCACGTGGGTGTTAGAAATAAAACAAATATTACTTCATAACAAGTTAATTTATTGTAAAATATAATAATTATAGAATCCATGACGGCATCAAGTAAAACGTATAAAATAATATGTAATACTATTAACATATACATCTAAAACTCTTAAAATGAAATTCTTAAATGTCTATCTTTCACAATATTAAACAAAAATGTAAAAAATTATTTTCTCCATCTCAGATATGCCACCAGCCACCACCACGACTGAAAAGTCGAAATATATATGTGTAAACATAAATATAAAATATCCTACTAAAATACACTATGAGTCTGATATAATGAAACCAAAATTACTTTGGTAAATCCCTTTGTCAATACTTCGTTTAAAAAAGGTCTGCGTACGCCATCTAGTGCCATAAAATAAAATAAATTAGCGCCATCTCTGGATGCTATTTAACATTGTCTTGAATTATGCTCCTGGGTTTCATTTTGTTTAAGGGGTTTTATTTACAATTATTAGATGGCGGTTAAGCTAGTTTACAGTTTTCACAATAATTGTCAACAAAGACAAAAATAACAGGATTTGTCACAAGTTATTGAAAAGTGGTTATTGCTCCTAAACTAAAGAGATTCGTAATATTATCCTATTTGGAAGACAAAACTCAATATTTTGCTAATTTAATTTTAATTAAGGTGACATTTCTTCGCGACTGCGTGAAGTATAAAAAAAATTGTTAATTTAAACTAATTTGCTGAAGAGTTCTCTATGAAGACATAAAAAGCCTTATAGTTCGAAATGCCAAAATATTTTTTACTGTCGAAACATACACGAATGCAACGCATTTCGTAATCTACCTACTATTATTTCTAGATAAGCTCGCATCATGGAGTAGGGTTAATTACAAATTATATATGCCTACTTCAGGGTTTCTCTGTGAAATAAACTTAGAAATGAGGATATCTGCAGTAGAACCAGAATAACCAACCCAACGGATTGGTAGGATGAAGTGGCAATGGACCGGCCATATAGCTCGAAGAACTAAAAGCCGATGCGGTAGCAAGGTTCTCAAGTGGCAGCCTAGTATCGGTAGGCAAAGTGTTCGTCGGCGCCCCACTAGATGGAGTGACGACCTATTGTTGTGTGGTGAGATGCAGGAAGTCGATGGATGCTGGTGGCTCAGGACCATGCTTGGTGGCATTCTTTGAGGAATGCCTTTGTTCAGCAGTGGACTTGTGGAAGGGCTTTAATGATGATGATGATGATATGTAACTGAACATTCAGGAATTACATTTTTACTTCTAATATGCAAGAGTCGACTTTTCTTTTTGTAATTTATTTATTGTCATCAATAGATTTCTCTAATGTGTTCCATTGTCAATTGGAACGATACCAGTTTGACCTTATGTAACTAAATATGAAATTTTAGGGATCATACATAAAAATCAAGGAACTTCTTCTTCTTGGTATGAATATTTTCTATTGTTTTTAGTTTTAGTAAAATTGACTTATTTCGTTTTCTGTAGGCCATAAACACACGACATAGTAAAACAATATTCAATGATTGTGGGTAAGCTACACCCAGAGAGCAGGCAGCGATCTATGTGTCCAATACAACAATGCCTTGAGGGTACTGTTCTACTGCCTTGACGATGCAGCGCTTCAGTCATGTTCGCTGAGAGCCATATTGAAGGCTCCGCCGCGATAGTTAGAAGATGATGTGCCTCCACGCTGACCCGTTTGCTTAACAACACCAACAGTATCCTTGAGGTATTGGTTGATCGGTGGGGCTTGCCATTTCTACAAGCGTGGGTACGGGTCCAAACAGCAGCATAACAGATTAGGTATATGTTGTTGTGTGGATCTATCCCACAATTGTTTGAGTTTTTCTTTTATTTTTGTAATTTTTATTATGTTATTTAATTTGTTCTTAGCATTTACGGGCTCTGCTTGAAATAAATAAAATAATTCCTACAAAAATGTCGTCCTATATTAAGAAAATTTAACTGCTTAAACATAATTATACAGCAATTTTTACGAGTCCGTTAGAGTCCACTGATTCACATGTGCCTCTTCGTTTGTGTTTTTTTTATAGAATAATGGTTACAACCGAACACACAGTCCACCTCATGGTAAGTGGTTGATGAGGCCCATATTTTATTTTTGTAATTTTTACTATGTTATTTAATTTGTTCTTAGCATTTACGGGCTCTGCTTGAAATAAATAAAATAATTCCTACAAAAATGTCGTCCTATATTAAGAAAATTTAACTGCTTAAACATAATTATACAGCAATTTTTACGAGTCCGTTAGAGTCCACTGATTCACATGTGCCTCTTCGTTTGTGTTTTTTTTATAGAATAATGGTTACAACCGAACACACAGTCCACCTCATGGTAAGTGGTTGATGAGGCCTATACACATCTACATCTATCTTCGTTTGCGAATTAAAATGCAGATGCGTTGTCAGCCGTGAGGACTAAGATAGAATGCCTCGTTTCCAGTAAAAAGGGTCTCCGGTTCTCTACACTCACCATACGAAACACAGCAGCATTAAGCTGCAATTTTACGTTGGTATTCTGTGAGAGCGTGGTCGTTTCCCGATCGAGGCGACCCATCCGTGCTACAACTATACTATTAATATAGCTGCAGCATCGCTCTACTACGTTTGTTTAGTTTGGAAGGATTTCCGTTTATCGCCATGTTTGGTAGGCGGATTGGCGATTATAGATTCCGACATCCCGTACTTTAACACTAATAAACGCGATAAGATCCTTGAAAGTTTTAGTCAGAGTATGTTAGTAGTAGTCGTGCTTTACTTGTTATCTCTTCGACCTTGTTATTATAAAATAATTCACGTACCTCTTCACTGATCCGTTATTTTATCAATAAGTAGCTCAGGAACGTTTAAAAAAAAGGCGAACGCAGTTCCGAGTATTATGAACGCGCAAATACAACATGCCATGAATTTGTATCTGCTGCAGGGAGCTTTACCCTTTAACGTCCTCGCAAGCGCTTGTTTTTTTGCTTGACATCTGGATACAGATAAAACGTAAGTATGAAATAAGTATATTTATTTTTCCAATGTAAAAAAAATCGCTTGACATAATATTGTTATTTGCTCTAAAAATTTTCTTTTGATCCGAGGTTCCCCTAACCTAAGCGAATGGAAGTCCGTAGGAGTCATTGTTTATTTTTAATCTATAATATGGATTAGTATAGATTAAAAAAAAACTATAGTGTTTGACTACTGTGCCACCTGATGGTAAGTGCACCGGAGATGGTAAAACGCCCTGACTTAACCAATTATCTTAATAGAAGTATGTTTACTTAATAAAAGCATAATATAAAGTTAATACTACAAAAGCATTGTATATACGAGTATAGAACGAAAAACAATAACAGAGCCAAGGTGCCAATAACAAAAGCAAGGTCTACGACTCTCAAAAATAGGATATTGCAAATTTGGACCTTTCCAGTACACAACGAATCCGCGTATATCAGACCCCTCCGCCGATTTGATGGTGAGTAACGGTCAGGATGATTCTCTGCTGCAGCAAAACTATCAAAATATGCGATCATGAAACGGTCTAAGCTAGACAAAGATGGCAGTATCAGGCTGCTCCTAATGTTAAAACTTGATTGTTAACTTGTTTGTTGATTGTTGTTGTTGGGAAGTTGCTGATTCAGCATCATTCAGTATCGCTTACGTATTAATATCGGATGTAGGCTGGGGATAACTTATTTAATTCAGAAGGAATCGGCGCATGAGTACCGAAAACTATTCCACCTCAATTTTTTTATGCGATTTTCTTCAAATCGTCTTACTGATGATATAAATGCATGTTGCCATGGGGCAACTCGGTGCCATATTGTTTAAACAGATATTTTTCTCAATAGCAAGCAATTATTATTTTCAAACGGGACTATTTTTTTTAAATTCTAAAAAAAATGACTTTTTAAGATAAAGGTAGTCTTTGCAGTTATCAATTTTTAAAGTTTATAAATCTCAAATTCGTATACTTTTGACCCATTAGAAATACATAAAGAAAAAAATCAAAAAATATAAAAAAATATCTTTTATACTTTATAAACGATATTTTTTTTATATTTTTTGACAAATACAAATAAAAAAGGTCCTATGACTTCTTACATATATATGTATAATTTATTTATTTTGACATTATGTACAATTAAATTTGATTATTTTAAGATATATTTGCACACCGGTACAACTCCCGGTAGAATATTATTGAGACTTGCTCTTATACTAAATACCTGTATTACCTACACATTTTATTCTGCAAATAAAGATATTGACTTTAACTTTGATTTACGATAAAGTTAATAGTTTCGAAGATATGAATTTCTAAAGGTTTGAACAATGCCGAATTCGAATACTTTTGACTCATTAAAAACATAATGTTTAGTGAAATATAGACACATATGATTTTTATTATTCTCGTATAAGGATATTGCTAATAAAAAAAATTGAGGTGGAATAGCTTTCGGTACTCATGCACCGATTCCTCCTGGACTAAATGCACTTTATTATTAATGTAGATAATTAATTTAAAGAACATGTAGAATACAAAATTTAAAAAATATTGGGCACTATTTTTATAGGATAAAGGTTCATCACATTTCACCTGATGCTAAGTGGATGCTGTGGCCCATAGACCTCTACAACTATCCTAGATAAAGAATCAAAAAGTAGATGCATTGTCCCCTGAGGACTAAGATGAACTCATTTCCAGTAAAAAGGTTCTTCGGTTCTCTACACTCAGAAATCAGAATACAGAAGCAATGAGTTGCTATTCTATACGCTGGTATTCTGTGATACGACCATAGTAACGGCGGGGTAGGGGGTGCTACGAATTTTCGGTGGAGGTTGGATTGCCGCCTAAGACGACTCGACCTGGCAACATTTAAAGCATGAACCCCGAGGGCTGACGAAAAGATCCTGGAGCTGGAAGAAGAGATAGAGAAGTTGCGCTAGGATATTATAGGATTTTCTGAGGTCCGAAGAGAGGCAACTTATGGACACGGTAATCCTCGAATCCAGCAACACGTTCTGCCACCGGGAGAGCGACGATCTGTCCATAAGAGGTTTCGGATTTATCGTCCACAAGTCTCTCGTTAACAACGTTGTAAAGATTAAGAGTATGTCGATGAGGGTTGCGTACCTTATACTTAGAATCACCAAAAGGTTACCCATTCGTGTTACAACTATACCACCAATATAGCTGCAGCATGGCTCTACCACGTATAGCAACCTGCCAAGCGCGACGATTAAGGCAATCCTTCCTACAACGGGAGAAGCCCACGTCCAGCAATGAAATGTTACAGACTGTTGAAGAAGACTATTTGTGTAATACAGGGGTTTACAAAGTATGTGCCGTGGCGCCCTGGTGCACCGCAGAGAGTAGAGAGAGGTGCCGTGAGGTGCTCCTGTTTACTATCCTCCGGAAACTAACCTTAGGTAAACTAAACCGCATTGTTAGATGCATCTGGAGCAAACAAGGAGCAAATGTCGCTCAAAAATCAATGTGGAGCAAGAAACGGGAGTAGCAATGTCAGCCTTAACCCTCGAATGGAAAAAATGTGTGGAGATCACTAAGCTCACACGGTTACATTGACTAAGTTGCCATTGTATTTTATTTCCTATTGTTCTTAAACAATAAATGCATTTTTGTGTTTCAATATAAACATAAAATTTCAGCTTCATATCGTGGATGTTTTAATATTTGTGCCTCTACTTAGTAGGTATCATTGTACCGTAAATAAAGAGCAAATACAGCTCAAAGATTAATGTGGAAAAAGAAATGGGAGTAGCGGTGTCAAGCCTTATTCCCACGCTTTGAATAAATTTGTGGAGATCACCAAGCTCACATGTCATATTGACTAAGTCACCATTGTTTGATATAATATTTTTCTTAAATAATAAATTCATTATTCTATGTCAATGTATATAAAAAAACTCAGCTTCATATCGTGAATGTTTTGATTTTTGTGCCCATCAACCTAGTATCATTGTACCTTAGTTTGACTGGCTAGGATGCCGAGACAAAATACTAAATCTGTAAGTGTATCATCATTACACCCCATCACAAGACCATTGTTGAACACAGATCTTACCACGACACTTACAGACTGCCACACGAAGTCCAGAGTCACCAGCATTCGAATATTTTAATCTAATTAACAAGAAATAAAAACTTACGACGGAATTATGGAGCATGGCGCTTCTCTTCCAATAGAACATGGCATTAAAATTGCAGTTTCTTTAGGCAATAGTGATAACTCCAATTCGATGGATCCCTAAAATCACATACACGTTAGTCTAAATTTTACTACAGTTTTTTTTTTAATTTTTTAATTTTTTTTTAATTTTTTTTTTAAAAACGTTACCCCCACACTAGGATTTTCTCCTGTGTCGTGGAGGCAGTTTACAAACATAAATTGCACAAGGACAAACATCCAGACCCGGAACAATTATTTGTAGGCCATACAAATACTTGTTCCGTGCGGGATTCAAACCCGCGGCCCCCAGCGCAACAACTGATTGCTAAGCCACTGCGCCACGGAGCCGTCAATTGATAGATATTACGAAATCTCTTAATCGATGCTCAATGTTCATCGAAAACAAAACTTCGTTGTTGAGAGTTGAGAGTGAATAAAATATACTACTCAAAACGAAATAGGGCGTACCCCAAGTTTATTTGTGATGAAGTATGTAACTGTATGAAGCATTAATTATAGCCCATTTCAATATATGTCTCGCCATCATATTATAGATGTTCTTTTTTTTAAATTTATTAAGCATAATTATGTTACATTATCCAGTACAATACTAGCATATAAACCTCTAGGGGTTTATCTACACTAGAGAGTCGTCTTATAAAAACAAAGATGTATTAATATTAAATCACAATAATCCAGTATGAAGTACTTACTACAATAAGTATGGTTGATTTATCAAATATGATTTAAGTTTACTTTTAAATAGTTTTGATTTACCGTATGTGTTTTGTAATTCTAGTTGCAAGGCATTAATAAAAGTAGGTACAAGATGGGCCAACTTTCTTGCTCCATAGAAATTTTTAGTAAAAAATTATTATCTAAAACTACGAGTACATCAAAACCTGTTGCTATGCTTCCCAAGGGACTGGTCTCAGAGGTATGTTGCAATATATCTCGGTGTGTGCGACGAGCTATCCGAAATGTGTGGGAACACTATCAGGAGACCGGAAGTGTTACTAAGAGATTTGGATTAGGAATTTTAGAGCCACAACTGCCCATGAACACCGGTACATTAGGTTAACTGCACGTCGTGAGCGTAACATGACTGCGTGGGCTTTATCAACTCAGCTACGAAATTCTACCCGTAGACGAGTCAGCATTTGAAAAATTCGGAAACCACTCCATGAACACTGATAAAGTTCTCAAATACGTGCTGTTCGGGTCTTGGGCTGGTCTAAGGAAAACTGGAGGAGCGTACTCTCAAACGAATGTAAGGTGAAGTTTATTTTAGTGATGATAGACGAACACGCGTGTGGAAAAAAGAAAACGAACGTTTTTCAGAACCACTGATCTACGGAACAGAACGTTTTTGTTGCTTAAATGGGGTATGGGGTGAAATAAAGTTGCTGATTAAAACAGAGTCTGGTAGGTAAATTTAGATGAAGGCACCGCTACCAATAGCCACTAGGCACTGTAACGTTATGTTACGTTGGGCGCGTATTTCAACCTCATGTCATTCTATTTTCACAAAGAATAATATACCAGTAATACCAGTCTCTGAAGTCCATATTGCGATTTTGCCAAACCAACCTTGATTCCCAACCTCAACTCCATCGAGCACTTAAAGGATCAATTGAAAAGAAGCCTCAAAGCGAACAGTAGCATTGTCAATTGTCATTGTCAAAACCGGTCAAATGCACCTACAGTTGTTTTGCAACAAGACGAACAGCTGATGTATTGCGAACAATGTTTCGCAAATAAGATCGGTTCACCCAGTAAAAAGTTACAAAAAAAACTACCGTCTCCTTTTCGAAGTCGGTAGAAAATTACTAACAGCAGGTATATCGCTTCCGGTATTCCTATCGATTAGCTTCAAAGGCCACCACGCCCGCACAGACCTCACGGCAAACATACTAATTTTTTTTGTTTTCTCAATTGTATTGAGAGTGCAAAACTGCGCAAGGTTTACACCACGCGGCATAGAGTTCAAATTCAGATGTAGAGAACCTGAAACAAACAATTTCATAATGATTTCTGATATTTACTCGAATACTACAATTTAAATGCATGTTATTTACAGATTTTATCGGGTTTATTTTTAACTTTTTAATTCTCGACGTTGTGGGCGCTTCACAGCACTCATGATCACGGGATGGAGGGGGGGGGGGGGACTGAAGTGCTTAACGTCATGATGTCATAGTTAACGAAGCTACATTCAACTAGTATGTTCTTCTTGAAGCCCGCTTCAAGATGCTTATATGTAAATATATTACTACAACTGTTATTATATAGGCATTTAAATTCATATTATCTCCAATTTGATGCTGAGGATTAAATTATGAGTATTAAATTTCCTATTAAATAATAATTCCTATTAAATAATAATAATAATATTTTCATCTTTGGTGGAGCCATGCTGCAGCTATGTTATAGTTGCAATCTCACACAATACCAACGTAAAATAGCGACTTAATGCTGCTGTGTTTCGTATGGTGAGTGTAGAGAACCGGAGACCTTTATTTCTGGAAACAAGGCATTCCATCTTAGTCCACGGGCGTGACAACGCATCTGATTTTTGATTCTTTACTAAAGATAGATGTAGATTTATATGAGCCACAGCATTTACCATAAAGTGTCCCGTGTCATCTTTATTCTAGAAAAAAGTCATATTTCTATTGCCCGGCCGTGTCGAATAATGTATGTGTATGCGGGTAGGTTGAGGGACCTTTCTATTATGTCGAGTAAAAACTAAGGTCAAAAACATTAGTTCCTCCTTTTTTCCAATCTTGACTCATTTTCGCTAAAATGAAACCTATGTAATGCTATCAAAAGTATGTGAATATGAATTAGCTAATGTGATGAATCACCACAAAGTAACACTTATTTATATTATCAAAAACTATTCGTTGATTCTAAAGCTGCAACCGAACGAAATGTATTGCTAACTTGTTTTGTTATGTTGTTGTTGCAACACCCTGCCCGCCTTAAAGATTGCAATGTTCGTCAGCGACTTCAGCACAAACATAACTGCAGATGCAGACATCTGTCTCAGAAATATTATGGGACACATGAAAAAACATTCAAGCCTGACGTCTTCTCATGTTTAGAAATGTGATCGGACACATGAAAAAAACATTCAAGTCTTACGTCTCAGCAGTTAGATCTGAGTGTTGATAATCACAGTTTTGGACATCTCACATCGTAGGTGTCAAAAGTTAGTTTTATTTTTTTCATTTAATTGCGGAGACGTTTGTGTGGCTCGTATAAAAATAATACTTTAGTAAGTATTTTAGCTAGGACAACTAGTATCATAAATTGTGAGAGATAAACAAACATACCCAGTTCGTTGCCCATGAAATCGTCTGAATACGTCGCATCACCATCTAATACTTGAACTATAAGAACTGGTGGTATGCGCTCTTCGATTTCTGTAAATGGTCCTTTTTCCTTGGTTACTAGCTGAACATCATCATAAATGTTCTTTAATATATTTATACATAAAAAACGAAAAATGTAATTATTATCTTCTTTTTTTACCTTTCCTTCAGCGTGCTGGTATTGAAAGTTGAATACCATGCGCCAGTTGAAATTGCACACTCCGCTTGGGCAATTAAAATGGACGTCTGTTCGCTGAACCTGATCGACAGAACCGATCCAACTAAATAAATTAAAAAAAAGTTAATATTAGCTGGCTTGAAACAAACTAAATAAATTAAAAAAAAAGTTAATATTAGCTGGCTTGAAACACGTTTTAAAAAGAAACGTTTAGTAACTTATAAGTATTTGCTTTTTCCAAGAATACACAGGAATCTCGGAAAAAAGCGAAAGAAGAATTACTATTATCTTTGAAGAAAATCATTATTTTAACTTGTATTCAAGTGTTATAAATCTGCCATTTATAACACTTGATGCTATTGATAAAGACTTTCTGAATTTCGACTTTTACACTACTAGCAAACATAACATACATTAGGTAATATGTAACAAATGCTCTTTTTCACGTTACTGATGAGACCAAATCATAGATGTAACTTGAAAAAGAACTACTTACGCTCTAACATAAATTTCAGATGTCTTTTTTCCAGACTTTTCTTGCTTAAGCTTTAATCCATTTACATTGAGCACGGTGACCCTCAGTTCAAAATCTTCGATTTTCCATGGAGTTATATCAACGGGACATGGAATAAACAAACCGGAATCCAGTGGAAATATGTCCACCCACATATGTACCTTACCCTAAAAATAATATAGTTCCTGTCAAAATACTATAGAAATTTACCAAAACACCTGGTAATGATTCCTTTTTTTCCAGTATCAGTTATTATTTTCATTTTGATTCTAAAATAATTTCATATTGACCAGATTTAACATTATATAACCAAATAATAAATATTAGCTACATAAATGTTTTATGCAATCAATATTTGTTCGTTATTCGCCTTCATTTGGCCTTCTTTCTCTGTTATATTTATTTGCATTGTAGGTATTTATCTGTATTCGAATATAATATTATGTGCTTGCTACAATGTAACAATGTTTTTAATATGTTTCTCCTGACATTTACCATTTCGATTCCAGGTTTTGAAGGATTATACAGAGTCCTAGTTTCAACATGTTCCGGAACCAAATGGTATCCACATATCGGCAGTGTGTGCCAGTTACGCAAAAGCGTTAAACAAATGTTTTCTCTACGTTCCACTGGTGATCCGTAAACTTTATCTGTAATGTATTGTGCAATGATTTAATTAAAGTTTGATGACAATAAAGAAGAAAAACAAAGCGATTACCTAAACAAGGAAATATCTCAACATATGAAATAGCATTGGCGCTAAACCATTAATTAGTATTAAATAAATATTAGCGAATGTTTTAGACAAAATTTAAAAACAAATTACAATCAATCTTGCATTAGTTTGTGTCACTTACTGATTAGGTATTTCGTAACAGCTAATGAATATTACCTACCTCGTTCGTTGTCTCTATATTCTACACCATTTACGAGAACAGTTGCTATATCGGGATAAATGGGTGCAGGAATATGGTTCTTCTGGCACAGATCTTCAAGAATGGCTGAAGGCTTGATGCAATCGCGCCACTTACTGGGCCCAACTCTGTTAAATTTAAGAGGTTTACATTGTAGAATAATACTAGAAAAATTCAAAGTATTTTTATATTTAGAGCCGCGGTACCTCAAGTTTTCAACGTTTGCCGTTAATACTCATATAATATCAGGATACAATATTACAATACACAACCCTACTTCGTGCCCCGCTGACGCCAAATAAATTGTTAATTGTAATTTAAAGTGCTGATTAACCACATGCTCATCATGGTAATGAAACCTGAATGTCTCAAGAAGTAATATATTTTGAATACATGTGAAGTCTGCCAACACTCACTGGAGCAGCATTAAACCTCCCAGAAAGGCCTCCTCGCCTCAGCCGTGGGACGTATTCATATATTATGATTTTATTTTTATAATATTATCTGTAAAAGTAGTTAATATTTTGCGATATCACAATGCGATATAGGACGGTAACGCATCTGCAGTATGGCTCTACCACGTAAATCCATACTGCAGCTATATTTTGGTTGCAGCACGAATAGGTAGAGGTTCGATCGGGATAGGACCACGCTCTCACAGAATACCAGTGTAAAATAGCAGCTTAATGCTGCTGGGTTTAGTATGGTGAGTGTAGAGAATCGGAGACCCTTTTTACTGGAATCGAGGCATTCCATCTCAATCCTCAGGGGTGACAACGCATCTGCATTTTGATTCTTAATTGAGGATAAATGTAGATGTCTATGAGCCACAGCATCCACTTACCATCTAGTGGACTGTGAGCTCGTTTGTCATCCTAATTCTATAAAAAAAATTCATTTAATTGTGTTATTACTCTAACTGTGGTCAAACGGAGTTTATTTTATATTTTGTATATTAGATGTGCACTTGAAAGTGAAATATAGCTTGCTTTATATACAAACCTAAAGTTTAATGAATTCCGGTTAAATTTCCACCACTAGGCGATCAATAGTATGAAAAAAATTAAATAGTAGCGTTAACAAAAAAAAATCTATCCAACAATATCAATTTGTGGAGATAAAAGACAGACTAAAATCTTAGAAATTAAGTGAGGGTTAATATGAGTTAGCATGAGGTATTTGAGTTCTTTGTGGAATCGTTTGTAAGTCGCTTGAATGTTGTTTTAAAATATTTTAATCAACTTAATGAAATCTTAGAACTTTAACGTACATATTATATTCTACTGAAAGTCCCACACGTCCCCTGTGCTTGGAATAAATTCGATCTTCTAGGTCAACGTGAGTAGAGCCAATTAACTGGTCCTCTAGTTCATCATCCAAGTCGTAAACAGACAAAGATAAAAGATAGTCTTCGGGAAGACTGCAACTAAATTCATACATTCTGAAACCAATTTCGTTCTTCGATTATGGTGTCGTACGATTGTCGCTTTTGCCTTTGGCAGTGATAAATAGACGCTTCGCAGGCGTGTAAGGAAGAATGTTTGGGAGTGCAGTTCCGATGCCTTTGCATTGAGTAATGCCGCTTCCCATCACTACTCTATTTTTGATTCTGAAGAATTTCTCGGCATTTGATTTAATTTAACATTTGACTTTTAGGACTAAATATAGGTAAATAAAGTAATAAATGTCAGGTACTTTTTTAAAGTTATCCAAAGACAAAAATAGATAGAAATTGTATAATAATATAATTGAAGTTTGGTGACGGCGCCTTTGAATCCATCAGCCTATTTCGTACCGAGAGTGTTTTGAGAGACGGCTATGGGAAATACCAAAAACATCTCGTGGCTTCGGAAAGATGGCGTTATAATAATAATAACAATAATAATCATAAATTCTTAATTTCAGATAATTAAAATCCATATGTGGGTTAGTAATATAATAATAATAATAATAATATTAATAACAAGGGTCAGTAAAACAATGGTTTGCTTAAAATCAAGGGAAATAAAGTAATACCCTGTGCCGAGACAGACAATCATGGGGGTGGATAGGGCCCAGTGATCAGTCTCTGCACAAGACATTTCCACAGCGGCGATGTATATCTGTCCGCTACGGTCCTCAGAATGCTGTTGTAACTGGCTCGTACCCTGGAGAAGTCTATGTCTGGCAATGGAATTTTACGAGCAGATGGAGAAGAAAAAGAAGAAATGAACTATGGCCAAATACTCAAACCCTACTCAAATTTAAGATATCGTTAAGTCTCGTGGTGTCACAGTCGCTTTGATTTATAGTGATAGAGACAGCGCGAGACTTACGGCATCTTAAAATTGAGAATCGTTTGTGTATTTGGGCATCAGTCAACTAAACTAAAACTCTTTTAGGAGAGATGGAGGACCACGTTTATGTTGATCCTTAAATAATTTACCCTTATCATTTATAACAAGTCTGCTGTATTTACTTTCCAAAAATAGGACTGAGAGTTTTCCTTATGCAGCTGTCTCGATCTCCCAGGCGTTTATTACCACAATTAAGCACAATATATGGATTAGTTTTTCCCGTAAAATCCTTTGAGGTTAAATTAAAAGCCTTTACCACGTAAACTCGTACCAAAAATTTTGTAGGTTCGTTATTCGGGTGGTCGTTAAAAAATCTGCAAATATACCAAATACAAAATAAATTTGATTTAATTTTATTGACATGACACACACGCACATACACACACACACACACATACACGTTAAGGTTAGTCTACGTTCCATAATCAAAATCAACAAAAGAATAAATATCATAGCGTTATATACTCACCCACTATTTAGTTCCACACCATTGGAACTAACAGCGATGGTTGTTGCTGGTGGGGGCCAATTATATAAAGCAATACCGGCTTTCAAAAATCCACAATAAAGTTGTTCATCTTTTTCTGGTATGCCAGTTTTATTGCCATTGTATAACTTGAGTGTAGAACACCAGTCTTTGAATTTTGAAAACTCTGGTTGTAGTTCCAATTCAGAATCGTAAATCTAAATGATTTCGAATAGAATTTTGAAATAATATTTTAATTATTATTATAACATATCACATACCTATAGGCGCAGTAAATAATATAAAATACGGAAATATTATTATCTAAACATTGCTACGAAAATTTAAATTGTTATTGCAACTGTTACTGATATCAGATATGATGTTTATCCAAAGGTTTTCTCCTAGAATAACAAGTAGTCTTTTCTAGATATTAGTATTACGATTTATGCATTTATTGTATTTGCTTTGATGATAAATAAACAACTAAAGCAATCCTATTTATAATACATTAGATACCGATAAGGCACGTACGGAAATTTTATCAACCGCATTGACATTATCTTCTCCGAAGCATTCCTAAAAATAAGTTGTTATAATTAGTACACCGTTATCGGTTATGATAAAAAGTCACTTGAGAATCACACAATAATTTAGCAACCTTTTGAGAATATAAATATCTCATCCACCAGTCCTTATGCTCACATGGCGTTGCTTCCTTGACAACTTCTTTCTTTTCCTTAGTTGTAAGCATTGGCAGTAATGTATATTCTTCTTCGTTAGGCTCCTTCTTGCTAAAAAGTCTTGGCCATTTTCTGGGTTTCACTTGATTTTTGGTTTCAATGATTGCGTCCATAACAGACTCTGAACTTTCTTTAGTTAAAGGGCTACTTCTTCTAACGAAAAGGGACTGCCCCACTGGAAAATAATAATTTTTAACTTTAAATCTGCATAATTCTATGTATTTTATATGTCACTTATTTACTGCGGCGTGTCATAGTCCAGATTTAAATTATTTGATTTTTTGATGTTTAATCAAGCACAGCAAACTACAAAGCCAAATATAACTCTTAACAACAACGCAATTATATATAGAAGAAAATTTTGACAAATTCGAAAAAGGCAGGATCAGAATAGTATTATAGTATTATTAATATACTAAGGAACCAAAATAATATGGCTTGGCCCATATATAATATAAAAAAAAATCGCTGAATGTGTTGCTAAGCGCAAATCTCGAGAGCAGCTGAACCGATTTAGCTAATTCTTTTTTTATAATATTCCTTGAAGTACGAAGATGGTTCTTACGGAGAGAAAGAAATTCAAAAATTGCCTGAAAAAGTCTAAAAACAATACTTTTCTATATTCCCATACAAAAGATTCGTAATAATACTTAAAAGTGAATTTGAACTTTAATACCATACCATAAAGTTTAAGTGTTAGTGGAGGGGTTCCGGGAAGGCAAATCAATTGAGTGACATTAGTATCGTATAAATATCAATTAATGTCAATATTTATAAGATGGTAATAAAAAAATTGATATCCATGAAATCGTAGTAAATTACACGCGGGCGAAGTCGCGGGGCAAAGCTAGTATATAATAAAATCACTAGCGCTACGCTGTTGAAGGAAAAATTGAGAAGACAAGATTTATTGATTTCAATACAGACTACAAAAGAATGATATTATAAATAACTAAGTATTTTGTTTTAAAAGACTAGTAATGTTCTTCAGTTGTGTATCGCTAGCAACGCAAAGTCGGGAATTTGCATTTGGAAAAATCCTAAATTAGGGGCTTTTTAGGTGCTAATTAGATGCCAAGTTTAAAAATTAATATTTATCGTATATTTAATAACTTCATTGCGTTGCTAGCGAGACGTTTCGCTAGCAACGCAAATTTCAACAGTTCGTTGCGGTGAAAATTTTAGAGCACCTAATTTTTAAACTTGGCACCTAATTAGCACCTATAAAGCCACTAATTTGGGATTTTTCCAAATGCGAAATTCCCGACTTTGCGTTGCTAGCGATACACAACTATGTTCTTCTACGTATGTATGTCAAATCAACACACGCCGTAACACAGTAGAAATCTTTCAGTAGGTAGTTAAAGAACAAGAGAAGAATTACTCGGAAGAAAGATTGTATAATAAACCAATAACTCTAATGGATTGACTGATTTTATTCAATAATGATTTAATTCATTGATGATAGATTGTAATAAGCAGTTAATAAGAATGTCATTAAATATTTACCTTCAATAAAACTGGAAGACATTATCGAAGCTCGTTTTAGCGAAGCTTCTCGTTCTTGCTTAGGCAACCATTGTACATAATATTTCATTGGATTTTTAACGACGTAAGTGCCAAAGAAAAGAGTTCTACCGAAAGTGCTGCTGTCATAAAGTCTGATGTTTAGGGGCGGATAATGAACTTCGTCGAGTGGCGCTTCAAAAGTTTGAGAAGTGCGGCCGTTGGGGAAGTTGCAATTGTTTTTCTTCTCCGTTATTATATCAGACTTCAGTGCAAGGTCTTCTATTTCGAGTACAACACACGGTTTTCTAGTAACACTCACATCTCGCAGCCCCCACCAATATATATCAACCCTGCAAATATATTATAAAAATTAAATATAATGATGTAAACTTTAATTAAATGTTCACTTGTTCCTAATAAAGTAAAGTAAAATTGGAGCCCAAATACGTCGCTTTTCTTGACACGCTCCTTATCATTTTCTGAAAGCATTATGTAGCAATTAGTCCATCTCGCTGCTCCAGTGCGGTTGGCGGATTCACATTTACTTGAAATATTTTCTTCATCAGACATTCAAATTTTCTCGCCGTGGTTTTTTTTAACGCCGAGCATGTGGTTAATCGGCAATTAAAATTTCAATTAACAATATCATAGCTCCTGGCATGGTTTTGACTACGGTACTCGGGTACTGTGATATTTACGCTAAGCGGTTGGAATCAGCTTCCATGGCTCTCAGTTTTTAATGAACGTTCCGTACTGTTAGCCTCACCTCAGAAAACTTAAAGTAGGTACCGTGGTTGATACACCCGGCAGGCTTATTGGGAAGTTGACACTATAATTATGAAAAAAATAGACTTGAATGTGCTACATTCAAATTAAATTATCGTTCTCTAGTCCCACTAGATGGAGTGACAACCTCGAAGTCGATGGATGCAGGTGACTCAGAACCGTGCTTTGTGGCATTCCTTGGAGGAGGCAAAGTTAAGCATTGGACTAGTGAAGTGCTGTAATGATGATGATGTGCTACATTTTGTAAAGTTTTAAGTACAGAAACAGATTTTTATTAACTGAATAGTAACCTCATACAAGTTTATAGATTTTAAATCCGAATTTAAAACTATGTTATAAGAAAACTGTTTTTCATTAAAAAAAAATTGATATTTGCTATCATATTTAGTTAGCATATTTTCCGCGGGACTTCTTTTTTTTAAAACAGTGTATTTAAACCTGGGTTTAACATTAAACTACTTTTCGTAATAAGACGAATAAAGTTTCTTTAGAAAGGTTTATTTTGATAACTCGTAATAAGTACTTTAACTAACACGAGTAGGTATCAACCTACTACACCTATAAACGTACCATAGGTATGTTCAAATGTTAAATGAGATATGTAGACACTTCACATTTTAACTGATGGGTATAATAAGGAGGAATATGAAAATTATTTACCAAACGACAACTTGACAACGCGCTCATACTTAATTGATAGACTTAGCTCTGACGGCCGACTGAAAGCGGGAAATTACTAATTAAAAATATGGTAACACCATTGTAGAATACAAAATGGTGGCAGGATGGTCGCCGAGTTGTGGCACCGATAAAATCGGGGAATCCATACAATGAGAAGGTGCGATTTCATTATGTGGATGTTGTTGAAAATGACTGAAGCTAGCTGAAGGAGTGCTTGGAATATCTTGTGTCTTCCGATAGATTGTTGTATAGGTGTTTAGCTTACCCGGCAGGTAGCAGAGTAAGGACATCCAATACCGGTATCGTCAATTCTCCCACCAACTGTAGCGAATACGACAAACCGTTTATACTAATAGGCATAGATAAAATACTATAATAGGTCTATGACTGATGGAAAAAAACCTTAACGAAAATTTGCAATATTCAATTCAGCGCTCCGTAAAAAAGTGCGTTGAAATTCAACCTACGCTCATATAGCTCTAGAATATATAGGTAATAGACATCGATCACTAAGATCGATGGTAATAGATTAATAAGGTACATTTTAATATATAGATTTTCTTAGTTTTAAATACATTTTAGGCAGAGAAACTCAACTTTCAACACATTTCACACTAACTTTCTTTTAGGGTTACTGACTGTGAAAGTGAATTTCGGTAAACCCGTATCTGTAGAAACTTTAACTAAACAAATAATAATATCACAATATCTTGTTAATTTATTCGTAAAATCACGGAATAAACACGAATCATTAACGAATAAAATACACCATCGTAGTCATAGTAATTATTTGTTCGAGATTACATCAAACACGATAAAAGAATTCAAAGTTTTTACTCTATTAAACGTTTTATATGCCTTATTAAAATATTGATGGTAATTTACTTATATGTGCTATATTTCGGAATCAGGTTCGGTGGCAAAGGTTCAATCTCTTCAGGACTCTCAATGTCTGTCACACCTGATGCATAAAACGTTTCTTCAATAGGACTATATACTGTAGTCTTTAATAATTTCTCTGGTACCTAAAAAAGAATAATAATATTAAGTGCTTAATTTAGAAATTCGAAATAAATCAACATTCGTATCAATTTTCCTATATATATACCTACATTATATATTTTTTTACCAAAATTTTTAAAAGCGCCATCTATCGAACATTGTTAACATGAATGCAACATTTTGACTTAATGCATGTACCACTACATAAATTCTTATACGAGCAGCTATTTAAAAACTAACATCTTTATTAGATGGCGTTGAAGTAAACTATGTAAAATATTTATTTTAGGATAAGAAAATTATTTGAATAGTAAATATTTCTAACAGCACATAGCGTATTTTAGACAACTGACGCCCAAGGCCAGGAATACGGTGTTTCTTTATTAAATAATTATTAATTCATAATAATTAATTATTTTTGTATAATGAAGTATTAAAAAATTACTATAAAGCAGACTACAATTTAAATCCATTCTCTCTTCCATGGCCTCTTACAACTTTAGCTTTAATCTGCTGTTGATCGCTAATAAATTTGTTTTTGCAAAAAATATTATTTATTTTTACTCACCTTAAAAGTTTTATGGTGACTAAAAAAGGTGCTCACCATAGAAGGTGACTATATATAAAGGAAAAATATTATGGCTTCCGATAGGTAGCGTTAATATTATCTCGTTTACGCTTAACGTGAAATATCTAGATCAGAATCGGAAAGCAGGAGAGCAGCGTCCAAGGCGCGAGACCTATAGCCGAAGATCAACAACCCGCCTCTTAGCGTAAATTATTATATAATATATTTATTAAGAAAAATTCTTCTTCTAACGGCAAAAGCCTGTGTCTAGCAGTGAACTACTACGGACGGAGTGCGCTTAGACCTTTTCAACAGTGCAGCAAACTATATTACGATATTACTCATATTCGCCACACTGGACTGGAGATGAGATGCTGAGTATAGAGCCAATAACCTCGGCCTTCATTAATGGTTCATACCATTTAAACCAGATTTAGCAATGGGTTCACAGACATAGGTAAAAGGATGGCAGGAAGAGAAGAATGGAAGAAACTGACTAGTTGACTGCAAAATAACGTAGGTACCTACATCCCACTAGCACTCGGCTTGGCTGGTGATTATTAAATAATTAAAACTAAGGCTTTGGTCTTAGTTTTTATTATTTTTGGTTATGATAATATAATATACGAATCAACAATCTCATCAAGGATGTTATTAAAAATATTAATAACATTATGAAAGGTAGCTTGTGTTCAATATTGCATTGTATGTTCAAATGTTGTGTTGTAATTTGAATAAAAACTATGAAATTTATTTTAATTACAATAATAAAAGGAAGTACATATCTAATATATAAAAATTATTTTTTAATTTGAACGTATTTTATGCGCTGCCATACCGTTCATCAGATTGCGGTAAAACTTTGTCAACTTATTGCTAGCACTTTTGCGAAGGTTATGGACATATGGGTTAGTACAATTAACCTGCAGTAGGTGGCGCGCGTGTAGTACCGACAAATTTATTTGAAAGTTATACATCACTGACCTTCAATGAATGTACTATAACTTTCCTAATTAAACAAACTCTTCCAAATTTAAAATGATATTTCGACAATTATTTCCTTTGCGGCTGCAATGCGACGGGTAGCAGCTAGTTTAAAATAAAAATATTACTTATATATTTAATGCTGAAATCAATAGGCCGCACCTTATTTCTTTGCTCGATCTATACAATTTTTAGTACGTCCAACTTTGGGGATTATCAAACGGAAGGGCCATCCTTTCGAACTACAGATTACCACAAAAGATTATTGAAATATCAATATTTGAAAAATCAACATTGTGATAACTATCATGTAATATCATTCCTGGATGTTGTTTCAGACTGTTACAAAAGTATTGGCAATATTTTTTATGTGCACAGGTAGTGTTTTAACTTTCATATGACTATTATTTCCATGTTAACAAATGATACATTATCATCATAAAGACAACTGCTGAACCTCGCATCATGGCCTCACCTAAATTTACATTATATAAAATTTAATTTAGTTTTGTAACACAATCACCGCTAACGTATGTATGTACATACCTGTAGTACTTGCAAAGACATTAAAACTTGGCCAGTAGTCTCAGCTCCTTTCATCATACCGTACCATTTCAGTTTTGGTGCATATTCGTATTCTTGCCTGTCGTCAATAACGGGCGTCAGTTGGAAGCGCCCGATCAATTCCGTCTTACCCTGCGTCGAATAAATAGACTGCATAATTTAAAACTGCATTTGCTTAAGTAATCAATTTAACAATGCTGTTATTGTTAAATTGATGCAATGTTGTTATTGTTGTAGTATTGACACAATCGTTCTGGAAAATGAGTAAAGTAAATGGGTCCATTAGTGCAGATCGCGTTTCCTTTAGAGCGGGCAAGTCGGGTCAAAGAGAAGAGAAGGTTCGATTGTTATTACCCGATTCAGAATTCTATTTACTTGGTTAGCAAGACATGAGATCTTAGGTCCACTAAAAACAATAAAAAAAATGGACAGAATACTAATTTTGATAATAACCACAAATGTATATTCAGCAGAGAAAACAGAGGTCGGCAAATCACCCGGAAAAGTTATAACTGCGAATAACGGATCCCCAAATTACGTGATTCGATATCACATGTAAACTTATTGATGATAAAAAACATTCCGAAATTTGTGTTTCAATATTATTACCAGTAAATTGATACCTTAATTTCTGAACTGAGATAAAAAAGAATAATAAATTGAAATAGCTTTAAAAGAAAAATTATACACATTTACCAAGATATTGAATTTTAAATTCAGATATAATAATTTTACTTGCATTTCTAGAGAGATTCCTTCCGATGTTCCGAATATAATAGACGTACGAAAGGGCAAATATTGTACTAGTAGGTATATTGAATGTTTAAATTTTTAACAATTTATCGTGAAGAAAATCTAAACAAGCTTAAATTTTATAATTCTTCTACCCCGTCCTCTTTAGATGAAATACATGAACTTCTGCCATTGCCGCTACATGTCTTGTACTGTTGCGAGAATACGTCGTCAGTTAGCAGCTGAAGTATCGCAGCTATGACACAACTCTCAGTTGCTTTTCTGTCGTTTTATGTCTGGCATAAACGAGATGGTTGTATACTTAACTATTAAAAGCGATGAGACGTTTATTCTATTTTCCATAACATATTTTATTAGCAAAAGCGGATAATTCACCGCAACTAGTACAGTTTTCATACGAATACATCTAATAAAAATACACACCTTAACAGGATCTAGGGATACCTTAATCCTAAATTTTTTACGACTTTATAGTTTAAAATCGCTTTAGTTTCCGTAAAAAGTTTATATGCAGATTGAAACCTCTTTCATACCAATTTCAAAATTTAAAAATGTAAATAAAAAAAAAACAAAAGGAAAAACAAAATACGGCGGCAAAATTGTTAGTAATTCGTTACGTCAAGGAAAATTAAAATTGTTCTACTGATATTAATTAATGAAAAGGGATTAGATTGTTTTTACCTTTTTAATTAACGTGCCGTGTCAGCTTTAAGAATCATGTCACGTCGTCATTTGAGTCGAGATGAAATGTTACGAGCCGTGGGCATGTTAGAAAATGGTGCTATTCAACGCGTCGTTGCTGAGGCCCAACACACCAGCCAAAACGTGATATCAAGGTTGTGGTGACGTAATCGCAGTACTGGAGATGTGGTTGAACAGCACACGAGTAGATATCGTGTTACTACCCAGAAACAGGATCGATTTCTCCAAATGACCGCCAGAAGAGAACCCAATATCACAGCGATGCAACTACTCCAAAGGCTGTAGGAGGGCTACCAGCTGCTGGTAAGTGACCAAATCGTTCGAAGGAGGTTGCATCAAGTTGATCTTCATGCTCGAAAACCGCTACGTGTTCCAGCATTGCGACGTGGCACTCGCGGTCGTACCATGAGTGACGAACGTCTATGGCGCTGTTCACCGATGAGTTTCGGTTTGGGCTTAATCCGGATTCACGAAGAACACGCGTTTGGAGAATTCCAGGGAGAGTTAGCCGTCTACGGCAACCTGAAGAGGTCTAGTCATAGTACCGGGACGATTAAAAAATATACTTACATTTTTATTAAAAAAATATATTACGAATTATCTTTTTTAGACCTTAAAATAACCTATCATTTTTCCATTTACTATATCAGAAAATTCTGCTACCTGTTGCTAAATGGACCTGCAGCCTGTAGACACCTTCATTAATCCTCGATTAGAATCAAATTTTAAAATGCATTGTCACATCTGCTAAATAAAAATTTATAGTCTCTGGTACTCTTCACTCGCTATACTTACCAAACATAGCAGTACCTATTATACTGCTGGTATTTTTCCTTTGATATTGATTTTCTATAAAGGTTTGGTATTTTCATGTTCGAGTTAACCCATTCATACTGCAGCGTGGCTCTACCACGTGCGTTATTCAGTAGAAGTCATGATGTGAGGTCGCCATATGCTGGAAGCCAAATGAACTCCCACATGTAAGATTATGGTAATATGTAATTTTTTCTGGCTTCATAATTTGACGTACATTGTATGCAACAACTAAATTAAAAAATAACATAATTTTTAGGGATGTAGCGAAGTAGTTTATGGCCTTATTGGTAAATGTTTTATTATGTAAGCGATGATTACCTATAAGTGATTATGTCCTTGATTCTAAGTTGTAGCAAAGATTTTTATTAATGTAACAATCATTGGGAATCTAAATAAATAAATAAATAAAATTATTCACTTCGTGAGAAAAAGCGTTATCCTTTAACTCGACTATGCTCATGGATTTTGCGGATAACATTGAACAATATTTACCGCTAAGTCACTGTGGATCACTTCAATCAAAGCTACGGGTGGACTGGTTTTAAGTCTGCTCTGGTTCGTGAACTGCATTCTATGTACTTTCAAGACCTGGTTCCATATTGGCGTTAACGTCTTCTGTTTCACCTGCATTGAAATAATTTTAAATGATTAAACATAAATTGGAATTTTGATGGGATATATATTATGATGATAAGTGATTAGATATTAATGTGATAGATTATCATCATCATCATTACAGCCCTACATAAGCGCACTGCTGAACATAGCCTACCCCAAGGAATGCCACAAAGCACGGTCCTGAGACACCTGCATCCATCGACTTCCTGCATATCTTACCAGGTCGTCACTCCATCTAGTGGGGGGTCACCCTACAGTTCACCTACCGGTACGAGGCTGCCACTCGAGAACCTTTGTTCCCCTTCGGTTGTCGGTTAATCTAATACATCTAATGTTAGTTTAGGATTTGTTTTAAAACAAAATTTATTAATTTTTATCTTAAGTGTAGAGAAACGGAATCCCTTTTTACTGGAAAAGAGGCATTCCATCTTAGTCCTCACGCATGACAACGCATCTGCATTTTAATTCGCAAACTAAGATAGATGTAGATGTCTATAGGCGACAGCAACCACTTACCATCAGGTGGACTGTTTGTCACCCTATTCTATTTAAAAAATAATTCAATGTGCGTTTTGGAATTACTTCGGAAAGACCTATGGTCAGCAGTAGACTTGAGAAGGGTTGTAATGATGATGATTATGATTTACATGAACAATTATGTTTTCGTGTAAGTATAGAGCCGAAAGTCACTTTAAACACACGTATTAGCCTAAGGGACCTCATTTTAAAATAAAAGATAATACCATTAATAAATATTTTAAAATTTCAATGGGCAATCAAATAATTTTTTGAAATAATCTCTTTCATGTATTACAAATATTCATTTATGACCTACAAACAATTGATTCGGGTCTGGATGTTCGTCCTTGTGAAATTAATATCTGTAAATTTCCTCTACGATATCGGAGAAAAGTATTTAAAAAAAAGTTTCCTTCTAATTCAATGCTTTTTTAAATTTATTTATGTACACACAACAAGATACCGAAACAGTCTTATACTGAGTCTGTAGAAAGGTTTTGGGGTGGCTGGAATCTACCTCCGAGCGGTCCACCCCGGGCAACGGCACCACTGGCTCGCTACTTTAGCTTGTGGTGACGGCTGAAGATCCCATCATGCTTTGGTAGGACTCGCAAGGGGCCGTCTGGCTTGCTATCACCCTCCCGTCGGAGTCAGGCGCAAAGCAGCTCGCTGCGTTGCGTCTGTGAACGGGAGAACCAGTGTCTTTTGGGGACAGAAGGGCCATCAGTTGCGCCCCCCAAAACTAGTCTGGACTCCTGAGCAAAGTTGTACCAGTTAACTCATTCTGAATCGTAGTGGGATCCGAAGCACGGTTTTGCCGTTGGCCACCCACAGGTAGTTGAGGGCCCAAGTAGCGTGTCAAAGGGTGCCCCGCCACCTCGCGAAAAATCCCGAAATGCTCCACCGTGCCAGTTGGCGACTGGATGGGAGGACCCGGTAGTCATTTTGGGGGGCTCGGGCGTCCCCGCGGTCTCTTAATAAGTCCCCCATCGGTTGGTCAAATTCTTGATTCTTTAGTTGGTATATTGAGCGGCGCCTAGATTATTTAACTGTTTCCCCACCAAAGAAACGCCAAAAGAAAATAAAAAAAGCTAAAAAGAAGAATGTGGTTAATCAACAACGGCACTTCCTCCCGCTTAAAGTGCACCTCACGAACATCGGAGGGTTGCACACTAACCTCGGCCCGGTCCACCACTATCTCGAGTCCGTGAAGCCGCATCTATTCTTCTTAACGGAGACGCTGATAGCAACTCCGTCTAATGTGATGTACTTCAATTAACCAGGTTACTCGCTTGAACATAAGTTTAAACAGTACGCTGGGGTCCAACAAGGGTATCCATCTGCGGAGCCAGTTTTTCTCGGGGATTTTAAAGCCCACCACAAAGAGTGGTTGTTCCTATACGAGAAAACTGACCATGCTGATTTCACTCAGCTGGTTCAAGTAGTGACGCGGGTACCAGATGTAGCCGGACATATACCCAATTGCTTGGACCTTCTGCTGACGACAGACCCAGACAGGCACTCGATATCTGTCTAAGCACCACTTGGATCATCCGATCACTGTCTAGTGAAATCCGTATCAATCGTCTCTCCTCCGTATGACTAGCCGTATGACTATCCTCCGTATTCAGCAGGCACGAGGAGAGTATGGCGATTTAAGAAAGCAGACTGGGATAAGATGTGGCCCTTTTTTGCATCCTATCCCTAGCGGCAAGTGTGCTTCTCTTCGGATGAACTCTCCTGCTCTGCCGATGCCTTGCGGATGTGATACGACAAGCAGTGGAATATTTTATCCCGTTCTCCGCCATCACGCTCAGTCATAAGGCTCAGCCCTGGTATAATGCGGACTGTGTTCGTGCTGAGGCCTGCAAAGAGTGCGCCTACCGGGCCTGGGTTTCTGGACGGACTGCCTATGCCTACCAGTCTACCTTTAGGTGATGTAGAGATAAAAATATGAAGTAGGTGTGTGAAACACTCAAAGACAAGAATATAAATTAATGTATATAAATATAAAACAATATAATGATTTCTTATAATTACGCGAACACTACACATATAAATAAAACTAAATTTACGGATTTTATCGCGTATATTAACTTATTTTATATTCTCGACGTTTCGAGCACTTTACGGCACCCATGGTCACGGGGCGGTCACAATTAATAAAATTAAATCCCAACCCAAGCATACAACTGCAAGACTTCAAGATACTGTAAGTTCATACTGCGTAAATCAGAACAAAAATTAATAATTTTTAATCTGGAGGTAGCCGTGCTTAACTATGACATTGGGACGTCATACACCTCAGTCCCCCCCGTGACCATGGGTGCTGTAAAGTGCTCGAAACGTCGGGAATATAAAATAAGTGAATATACGCGATAAAATCCGTAAAATTAGTTATATTTAAATAAAACAATATAATACATATACCCATATATAAACTTACAAATCAAAAATTATTTAATATATGCATAGTATTATATATAAATTATGTACATAAAGATAATAAATCACATTGCCCATACGCAATGAGTTGTTACGTAAAATAAATATCAATCTTTTCTATGTACCTTTGTTTTCCTTTTTGATGATACATTATCTTCATAAGCACTAGAAGCCTTACAAAATGTTGAGCATACTTATTTACTTACTTATCTTCACGCACAATCCCTGACGGGGTAGCCAGAGAGAACAGATCGCCAAGTGTCACGATCCTTACAAACCTCTTTCGCTTCTTTCAGATTCATTATCTTCTTCATGCATGCACGTCTAAGTATCCGAGTACTTTTGACCTCGACACCTTTTAATATTAACTTTCGCGCTATACATTTTCTTCACCATTCGGTCTTCACTCATTCGCTCAACGTGCCCAAACCACCGAAGCACGCCCTTATCAATTTTTGTGATAAGGTCATCTTTCAAACCTGCCATTTGCGAATCTCTTCGTTTCGCTTTCGGTCGGCCATGGTAACGCCGCACATTTTACGAAGAGATCGCATCTTCACTGCATTCAACTTACTTTTATGCTTCTTCTGGCATACCCAGGTTTCGCTGCCATATAACAAAGTCGGTACCAACACTGCGTTATGTATTGCAAGGCGTGCACTCTTCGCTACGCCTTGCCTTTTGACTAACGCAGTCAGGGCACCATTGACTTTGTTCCCGGCAGCGACACGCCTGTCCACATCTAAATCACATCTTCCATCCCGGCTAAAAGCACTCCCCAAGTATACAATTTCATTTACCTATTCTAGACATTCCTGATTTACCCATATTTCACACTTCGTTCTCTCTTCGTCCCTTTCAAATACCAGAACCTTAGTTTTATTACCATTCAAACGGAGACCTTTAATTTCACATTCCTCTTTCATACACGTGACTAATGCCTGCAGTTCTGCCTCTGATGGTGCAATAAGCATTGCATCATCAGCATACAGCAGACAATTTACTTTAATGTCACCCAATTTCACACCCAAACAACTATCTTTCAGCTTCTGTAAACAGCTGTCGAGATACAATATGAACAGCCAGAAAGACATGACACAACCCTGCTTTACGCCCGTTTGGACGTTAAACATGGGTGACAGGTCATGCCCTACCCGCACACAGGCTTTACAGTCACAGTAAAGAGACTGCACAGCCCTTAGCAATTGACCATCCACACCATACCCCGGCAACAGTTCCCACATTTTCTTCCTTACAACCTTATCAAATGCTTTCTCAAGATCCACAAAAGCACAGAAAATCTTCTGGTTAGCAGCCAGAAGCTTTTCCGTGATGATGCGGAGAGAAAACATTTGATCCGTGCATCCTCTTCTAGGTCTAAATCCGCATTGTGCCTCTCATAGAAATCTTTCCGATTTCTCTTGCATCCTACGTGTCAAAACCTTCGAGTAAACTTTACTTGCTAAACTGGTCAAGCTGATCGCCCGATAGCACCCGCAGTCAAAATGTGAACCTTTACCTTTATATAAAGGCACAATGACTGCGGATCGCCAAACATCCGGGACATCCCCCGTCCGCCAGCAGAAATTGCACAGCAGATGAAAGCTGTCCCAGACGCGATGCCCACCATACTTAACCATTTCAGCAGTAACTCTGTCTAGTTCCGCAGCCTTACCACATTTCAAACTTCGAATCGCACGTTCAATCTCTTTCATACTGATGACCTCAGTGTCATCGAGGTCCGGGTCTGGCGTACCAGTCACGGCGTCATCCCCGGATCCCTCACTAAGATCGTCACACGCATACATTTCTCTATAAAATTCGCTCCATCGCTGCATGACGTCCGATTTTTCTGAGAGGACATCATTAGTTCTCGAAAGCACTTTGTTCATTCTTAAGGCCGTCGCACCACTTCGGGCCTTTCCAACCTCTTTCCAGAAGAGTTTGGAGTTCTCCTTAAAGTTGTGCGACAACCTTTCGTCCGCTTCCATTCTACAACTTTCACACACTTCCTCAATCAGTGCTTTCGTGTGAACTTTCTGCAGCCTATATCATTCTTTCATCTTCTCTCTCATATCCTTATCATTACTAGAGCCCAAGTAGTCTAACCATGCTTTCTTCTTCTTCTTTACAGCTTCTTTTACTTCATCATTCCACCATGCATCTCTTCTTTTACTACTGCCTCTTTTTATTGTCCCACACACTTCTTCCGCTGCACTTACCATTCCATCCCTAAGGTTCTGCCATGTTCTTTCTACACATTCTTGTCTGCCATCGATGGTGTCAAGCTTTTCGGCTACCCTCGCATGATATTTGTCCCTAGTATCCGCTTCCTGAAGCTTCCAGCTTTGGATGCGACAGACCGACTGTGGTTCTGTTACTGCCGTCCGGTAGCGCCAACCCGCGAACAGACCCCTAAATCTAGTAATCACTAGATAGTGATCCGTTCCCAGGTCAGCACCCCTGAACACTCGCGTATCCATCACCTGTTTTCGCAGTCGGTCATCCACCAGGAACAAATCGATCATACTTCTCTCATTCTTTCGTTCTCTAGTATACATATGGATTTTCTTGTGATTAAACATAGTGTTTGTCACAAGAAGACCCTTTTCCTTGCACACCGCCAGTATAAGCTTGCCAGCATCATTAACCCTTTTATCGCCAAACTTTCCAAGTACCGACTCGTACCCTGGTCGAGCGGTACCAACCCATCCATTCAAATCACCGCATACAACATGTTGCTCAAAATTGCCTATTTAGAATAGTGTTCAAATTTGATAGCTAATACTGAACAAAGAAAATCATAGGGACACAGTGTATATCCTTCTTATCTAGTTTACGAAGTATCTTTCAAATTGGTCCAATATTGGAGAAGAAAATGGTAGAGAGCCAAACCTCGACTTATGCCTTTTCACTTAGGCTACTCAGTCGGATCTGAAGTTGTCCTTATCGGACAGCGGTAGTTTCCTCAAATACCTAATTTTCAAAAGTCTCTCGGCCCGCATTTCTTCTTAATACGTTCGATTTAGTAAACGTTATTTTGCAACTAGCTGTTCCTCGCGACTTCGCACGCGTGTTATTTGGGGTTTTAATTATTTTGCGCGGAATCCTAATTCTTGTTCTAAAATAAAAGTAGCATAAGTTACTCCTTGTGACATCAGCTATCTGCCAGTGAAAATCCCGTCAAAATCGGTCCAGCCGTTTCGAAGATTAGCCGGAACAAACAGACAGACAGACAGACAAAAATTTAAAAAATTGAGTTTTTGTTATAAGTACCGTATATACTGCTGAGCTAAGCTGTTATTTTAACATTACAAACAGACACTTCAATTTTATTTATTTGAATAGATAACCGGCCAAATTTGCAGCGAAGGTACAGAATAAGTAATATAGGCAAATGGTGAACAAAAATTAATTAAAAAAGATCTACAACGGTATATCATTATTTAATCCTTATTTATATATATATTTGAACTTATGTTTAAAATTTGGCTACTTTTTGAAAAACAAGCCTGTATAGTTGCGTAAGTGTAGTATCTTTAGCGAATTGCAGGTGCGTCAGTGTCACACGTCTTTTAAATTATAATACAACGGTGAAACATTTCTGGGACATGACTTCACACCATTAGCCATAGAATTGGTTCCTACCGCCAGGGGCAAGAGAGATTTGAGATATGAAAAAAGCGAAAACTCACTTTTATGTATACATTTTCGTTATCTGGAGGGAAGATCATTTAAATTTTAAACCTTTACGATAGACCTTCGGGATCTGAACTCTATAAAGCCTATGAAGGCATTTTGTACCGATTTCTGAGAACAAAATGTTTTTCCTTGCAGAAAATTGTCCGAATTGCGGAAAAAATGGAATTCGGTAGGGCCTAGTTCATACGAGGTACAGATTATGATTGTGTATATTACAGAGACGTATGGTTTCTAACTGCAGATCTTATAATGCTGAAATGGTTTGCCGAGCAGTGTGAGTTTTAGCGTTATCTTTGGAGCCATAATGGCGAAATTCGATAGACGAGGCGGGGTTGTTTCTTCGAGTTTCGCCATCGTGGTTTAACTTCCTACACAAAAGTCCCTTGCATTATTTATAGCAGGTCTATTATTACACTGGATCTTAAAAAGCAATAGTGAATTACACCCTGAAGTTTTCATTAAACAGTTACCATCACTTTTCTTTTTAGGGTATAGTTCTGGTATTCGACCTGGGTTCAGCCATAGTGTTTTCCGCTTTCGATTATAGTTTTTGTCCAAAATCCCGTCATTTCTGTACCTTTTACATCATAACAAGGCAAGCCTTAATGCGTACTCCTCTATGCACATCCGCATATATCTACATGATAACATCTCGAGTTTTATTTCATCAATGTGGTGCAATAGAGTAAACATTATGGGTATAAACTAACGTCGAACCATGACGGTAGTTTCTTGGTTGTTTGATAAGGATCAGCTTCCACCATTACTTTTAATTTGTTGTTATTTAACTTAATGTCTCTTTTTCCCCGTGGTTCGTTCTTCAAGTCGAAGTTTATTAATTTATAGTTAAGTGTATTTTATTATTTATTTAATACACAAAGGAAAAAAATAATGATAAAATAATATTTGCAGACATACACTCATGACATGAATACGAGTACATATTATAAATAAAAAATAAATGAATATGCTTCTAGTAAATTAATATAAGTATCTATTACTATCAAATTTTTTCTGCGTAATTAATCAACAATTTCATTTTATGCAGCTGTGTCTAACGAACCCTCATTAATCGTGTACTTAAGTTTGTCTTATGTATAAAGCAATAATTGTTGCTCTGCCTAGCAGTGTCCATTAATTGGGTACCTAATTTTGTTTTAGATATAAGTAACGTAATTTTTGGAATGCGAAATAGTTTTGAGAGAAGTTTTGGGATAGTTCAGCATGATCGTCATTACAAGTTTGTTACAACAGAAGCTGCTCCCAAGTCACTTGTGAAGAGGTGCAATTAAAAAGAAGGAAAGAGATTATAATGATGATATTAAATCGTATTGCACACTGTTCATAATCATATTATACAGGTGACATATATCCTGAATCAGCATCTTTCAACGTACTTTCAGACTAATCGTTCCCGATTTAGATTCCGACATTTGTCGAAGGTGGCGGTAAATCCTACAAATGACTTAATTTCAATAAATAAGTGTCTCTTCAAATGTTTCTGCCATACCTCATTTAATGGAAAACATCTTAAATCAATTCCAATAAATTACATCTACATACGTGGTTCGCCAGCAAAAAATAAAGATAAATGATATAAAAATGTGGAAAGAAATATTCAGTTATTTAACGTATCGTTTCGAATCTTATTTCGGAGATAGCTTTAAATACAGGCAAAGTAAGCCTACTTGTGTTTCCTTTACAGAGTTCATTACGTTGATCCTGAGAAAAGGGTGCGTGGGTGTTGTTTCGTTGCCGCCGTTTATTTTTGCTCTGTACACAAACGCGCGGCACTCCAACATCTGAAATGTTGCGAATAAATAATTTTACATGGTTTCCCGGAATGTTTTTATTAAAAGTGAAAGTTACTCTCACAATAAGGTTTGTTTATATAGAACTTTCTAAATTTAACTGATAACTTAATTTTAGTTGATTCATATTCGTTGTTAGCAGTGACGCCGAATCTCTGTGGTGAACTTCAGAGAAGGTGTCCACAAATGTCCTCCAGACTGAACTTCGGTCACGGCGGCCAGTCTCAACGGAAACTATACATCTGCGCAGGACAGAATTACCGTACACAAGTGTGTGCGCAAGCACAAGTAATCTTTATATTCCTCTATTCTCATACTCATAGTCCGATGGGACGGCAACCCGACATAACCGGAGGGATATTAGGCGCAGGATAGATGGCTTTCAAATCTGTTAGAAAAATCCTATAGCTGAATTTAAACCCCGTAAATTGAAATTGAACCTTTTATTCAATATACTTAGATAATAAATAATAATTATTGTAAGTCACTTTTATTTTTAATTTACCACTAGTTCGGAAAATACCTCAGTCCTGGGAAGAACCAGCAAGAAACCCAGCGGGACATTTTTTTTAAATTACATCTATAAATATAGATACACTTATATGTTGGAATTTGTAATATCTAAAGCTCTTGAGGTTGGCATTTGGTGAAATCGTAACATTTCCCTTATATTTTAATTATAAGTTATCACACTGTGCTATACGAATATAAAATGAAATTTTAACTAACTTTAAAAGACCGACAGAGGAGTATACTTTTTAAAAGTAAATTTTTATCAGAGTCGATAAAATTTTAGTTGCTCGCAACAAATATTTATTGGTAAGGGCATGTAAATACGTTCTAGGGAAACGCAGTACGAATCTACAAATATGTTATTTAAATGAAAGCAATGTTAGGAGAGTAAGTATGTAGTGAGATTTACGTGTTTTGGCTGTGTACACTCCACGTGATTCTGTAGAAGAGCTCAATGCTGTGAGACGTTTGAAACTGCAAACGTTGCAAAGCGTGTTCCGCCTGAAAAGCGTGGCGATCACAGAACACGAAATGACTACGGCGTGGCGATTCCGTGTTATATGGTGGCGATTATGGAAAATCTTTCCCATAACAGAAATGCTTCTGTTTAGCAGTGAACTTCTACGAGCTGATAAAGGAGAAGAAGAATATTTAAAGAATACTAGTATCTCTTATTCATACATATCATATATGTATTCTGTTGTTAATATGACCACCAAACAACGTCGTTGGGAGCTTTTAACTGCGCAAGAGATATCATAGTGACATAAGTGGGTAGTGTAGATATATAAGCACGCTGCAATCGTTATATATACTAGTACTAATATATCAATTTATAAATGAGATTAGACGTAAAATGAGAAACACAATGCCAATGCCAACCAGATCCGAAATGTTACAATTTTTATTTTCCATTTTAGGCCTTGGAAGTTAGATAATCTGACCACTAAGCTACGCGGTCATAACGATTTTAATCATCATCACCATAGTTGCAGCCCATCAGAAATCCGTCGCTAAATTCCCACATAAAGCCAAACAACACGTCCATGAGGCAACTGTATCCATTGACCACCTTTCATATTTCACTATGTCGTCACTTCGCGTCGGGCATATTTAGTGGAGAAGTTTACCATTGTTGTAGTCCTAATACACATGTCATGGTTCTTCACTTTGACCTTGTATCCATCAGGTAGAAAGTTTTCAAATGCATTCCTTTCGCGGAAAGTACCCATCCATGTAATAAGTTCCAACTTAGCAGCAACGCAAAAGCAGCTACTGGGCAACGAATTCAAATGCTTTGGGCATTTTAAAGGCTAGAAAAAAAGAAACATACAAACATAAACATTGCTATAATCCAAAAATTTATATAATATTTTATTTTTTTATTGTCGTTTAGTTGATGCATTGATTATGTCACTTGCGATCGATATCCGGACTTTTTTAATTATAGCAAATTATAATTTTGCAAAATTACCATATAGTGGGATAAGTAATTGGGTTATCATCATTACGGCCAATAATTTTCACTTCATGAGCTTTATATTTGCGTACCGAACTATGGCAATATCTGTTTCTGTGTACCAAATGGTCTTTTGTCGAAGTCAAGTAAAAGATCTTTAAAACGACGTACTGTAGGAAATATTAACATATTATATGAATACTGATAATTCCTGTCATAACTTTGTTACACACTTGAGGAGTAAAAAAATTGTAAAGATGAAAACAACAGTGTTCACAGATCGGAGAAAGTATTTTAAGTGACTGAAAAAAATGATGTTTCAGGCATATCGGATTAGTCAGTCTTCATTTAACCTGAATTCCACTTTAAACTGTCCAAAACAACAATTCTCCTATACTATTAGTTGAAGCCTTTTAAAAAGTAACAGAACCTGTAGAAAGAATTGCGATGTGAACAAATTTAAATTTGATACTAAAAATCTAAAAACAATACCATCAACTTGGTACTTGTTATTTTTCTAAAAAAATATTTAAAAATGGAGGGAAAATGTTCTACATTCTTTATTTTTCTTTTTCTTAATGTCCTATATGTATTGATATTAAAACCAGCCAGACACAAACAGTACAACCAAAGAGATTTTTCTTCAATTTTATACAAACAATATGTTTATTTACGAAAAAGCTTTTCCCCCTACCTATTATTTAATTTCAATAAACCAAATAATTTCAAAAACACTGCTCAGTTTTCTTAAATTAACTTCAAACGTGTATTTATACCTTAAAATATTTTGTATCGGAAATGATTGACGTTTTTATTGCAGGGACACAGTACTAAAATTAATTGTAGTAAAAGTTGTAATATTTTTTTTCTAGATTATAGTGAAGTCTTTCGAAAGTAAAGAGTACATTATATAGGTCACCTTTAAATAAACAGTCCTTATTTTGCCGCAATCTTTTCCAGTTTGCTCAGTTATCGTTGAATGAATAACATCAGTCGCAGGTATTTTATAGAATCCCACTCTTGTGCCGCCATTTAATAACCATATAACGACATCCGGCCATCCGTCAGGTGCCTGTGTTGTATTCGATGAAAAAAAAATCTATTTACGTATTGATTCATTGCAATGTGGTGATCTTAAAACACTCTTATCGTTTAGCCGGTGAAAGAGAATCCATAACCCCATATTATTCTAGGAAGCTCATGAGAGGTAACTATGTTAGATGCCAGAAACATTTTATGGCCTCCTAGTCGTACAATGCCCAGGCCAGAAAGAAGAAGCAGCGTCAACGGAGAGAGTCAAATGTCTCGTACTGCGCTCGTTCTACCGTCTGACAAAGCGTAATGTAAATCATTACGCTTTGTAAAATCGGAAAATCCTTCCTACCACGGGGCGCTCCGTATTCAGCAGTGAACTTTTACGTCCTAAGATATCACGTCATCTCGTCCAGTGAGTAATGTAAAAGTCGAATTAAATAAATAAATAAAAAGTATTTATTTGCCACAAAACAATACAATGTTAAAATTTAAAAGGATAACTTTCTACGTGGTAGAGCCATGCTGCAGCTATATTATGGTTGTAGCACGAATGGGTCGGCTCGACCGGGGAAGGACCACGCTCTCACAGTAAACCAGCGTAAAATAGCAGCTTAACGCTGCTGTGTTTCGTATGGTGAGTGTAGAGAACCGGAGACCCTTTTTACTGGCAAAGAGGCATTCCATCTTAGTCCTCACGGGTGACAACGCATCTGCATCTTGAGTCTTTATTGAGGATAGATGTAGATATCTATGGGTCACAGTAACCACTTACCATCAGGTGGACTGTGTGCTCGTTTGTCACCCGATAATATAAAAAAAAACTTAATAATGAATTGTGACAAAACGATCTGTGACTCAGTTGTAACAGGAAATCCATTACTCCTGCTATTCTGCCACAGCCTTTGCGCAGTATCCATACAGGGTCTTAGGCAAGTGATGAAACACACGTATCAGCAATAATTAAATAAATAAAAATTTGAACAATAAATAAATAATTGTTACTAAAATACGAAATACAAAACACAAAAATACAAAAATGTTCACTCATTTGACGGGATATCAGAGCCACACAGAGCCAGGGACTGTTGTTGAATCAGCCACTTGCGGCATCTTTGTCCTAGACCGGACTGGTGGTGGCAAATCATTCCAGATTTTAGCAACGGCGAATTTAAAACACCCCCTGGCTCCAGCGACTATAATTCTGGTTAGTGGAAGCCGATGCCGAATTAGGAAAATACGAGACAAAACATCTTAAATAATCTGGACGGAACCCAAACCAACTTTTAAAGTTCGGAAATCAATTGCAAATTCACCTGCTATGTATGACGGTTAATTATATTATCTAATACCACTAGTGAACGCGCAAAGGAATTTGCTCGTCCTTTTACTACGTTCTGCTAGCCCTGACTATCCAGTTTCAAAGATGCATTGTTAGACACTTTCACGATTAAACAAAATCACACAAAAAAACGGATAAATAAATATAAATGGTATATTGGATACCAAGCTACGCTGTCACCATAAACACAAATATAGCAACATTTTGTAAAACGAATAAGACAGAACAGACATTATTAATTTTCTTACTTTATACATGAGATTTTTTAAACTTTGAGCTAAAGCTTTTGTCTCTGTAATCAACATTTCAACAATTTTCCTTGTTGCAGTTATACTATCTTTTGCAGTTTTACCGAGAGATTGGAGAGTGATATCAGAGGGGTTGTTGATTCTTCTCATCAAATTGTGATGAATTTTGACCTAAAAAAGAAAAGTTATTTATATATATTTTTATATTATATTATATATAAAAAAATTATTTGTATTTTTTTTTTATTGTTTCGTGTATATTGTTTTCGTAAGTAAACATTTTTACAATCATCAAGATAATCTTCATTACAGCCTTTTACAAGTTCACAGCTGAACATAATAACATTAATTTAATCAAAACAAATTAAAATGAAATTACAAATTGCTGTTTCATACAAATATTTCGAAGATATTTAATGTAAATTATATTATTAAATTATTTTCTCATTTTGATGCTTATTTCATAATATATTCATAATGATAAAACAAAGGTATGATTTTCCAATAAAAATGTAATCGAGAGGTTGATGTTTCTTTTTTTTTAACATAAACATATCAACCATGGTGATTATGAGCTACATTAAAACACCATGTGTATTGGTCAATTTATGTGCTTTTACAGTGTAGTGGCGTTGTAAGAATATCCACTACCCCATATAATCCTCTGGGTGTCGTAAGAGGCGACAGCGGGAAACAAATCAGGACATGGCTGGCAGCCTCTTCCTATAATAACGACTAAAAATAAATAAAAATTACGGTTATCAACGCGCTCGCCAAGCGTAGCAACTATGGCAAATATCCCCTTTATGAGGCAACCTATGCGGGAGGCCTATGTTCAGCAGTGGACTTTAATAGACTGTAACGGTAACGGTGTATGGGTCAAATTAATGTATGACTAGTGTCAAAATATCTGTTGATTCGATTTTGATGTAATTTTTTTAAATTCTAAGCATACGTAGGTATAGGTAAACAATAGAAACACGTTTCTTAGAAAGAAAAAAGTTAGATAAACGGCCAAGAGCGGGTCGGCTCTATTACGTTTCCGTACTTGCAATAACTTATTTTTTTTTATAGGATAAGGGTGACAAACGAGCACACAGTCCACTTGATGGTAAGTGGTTGCTGCGGCCCATAGACATCTACATCTCTCCTCGCTTGTGAATCAAAATGCAGATGCGTTGTCAGCCTTGAGGACTAAGATGGAATGCCTCATTTCCAGTAAAAAAGGGCCTCCGGCCACCTGCACTCACCAAGCGAAACGCAGAGGTTAAACTTCTACTTCACGTTGGTATTCTGTGAGGTCGTGGTACCACCCCGGATCGAGCCGGCCCATCCGTGCGACAGCAAAAGCTGCCGCGTGGCTCTACCACTGTTAAAAGTTATTATTTCTATCTTAGTTATTAGGTATTTTAACCATAGGTAAATCAAACCATAAGTGGTCACAAACTAAATTATGAGACAGTATTTGTTAGTTAAATATAGAAACAAATAAAATTTCTAACTATTTACTTTATTATTTAGTATTTCTTTATTTTTGAAGATAAAAAATATTAAAAAATATATGTATTTGTACTTTGCTTAGTAAGCTCTAGACAATAACATTCTACATACGCGAGTAAGATAAAGAAAATGGCCTTTTTATGTAAGTCACCTGTCTCTAGGGAATGCAATCTCGCGAGATTTCAGAAGTAGCTGAGATAAAACAGAAGTCAACCCGGGTTGCAGCGCGCGTGTTATGCTTAACCCAGCGGACACCCTACAACCTAATTTTAATTTGTACAGTCTTAAATATAAATTAAAATTTAGTCTTCGTACGTTAATTAGTACGTGTAATGTAATTATAATAAATGTGAATTGTTAATTACTACGGTATTAACATTTGTGGAATAGAGATACATATTACACATTCAGTTATTAATATTTTACGTAGATTCAAGAAATCTGAAGTTTTATTGACATATTTTCGTTTTCATGACGTTGAATATGACTTTTTTATTTTGTAGAACTTAAACCAATCTGTAGATGAATATGTCTATTGAAAAGTAGTGCAATGAACAAAAAAAAAACACTAGAAACTACGTTTTTGTGTTATCTTGAAGACTACGGGAAAATGTTTAACGAGTTGAATGTAAATTCAAGAAAAACAACTTCCTTCTGCGTGAATCCCATATCTCTGGTGCCCTTTGACCTACAGGACCCAAATTCAAACTCGACCGAGCTACTACCTCAAGGTATCCACATACCAAATTTAAAGTCAATCGGTCCAGTGGAACGGAAGTTATCGTGTCGGCATACAGACTAACAGACTGCCAGCTAAAACCATTAACTTCCTTTCAATGCTACGCAGAAGGAAGTTAATAAATATTTAAGATCTATTACTACAACGTAAAAAAAATCAATTGCATTATACTTTACATTTTCATTGTCATCATTGTCATTTTGTTAAATTATGTATTTGTTGTAAAATGGTGTTGAACTCTTGCGCGATAGTTAGGGCAAGTAAATCGATTAATTTTGTATTTCGAAATACCAAAAAATTAATTCAACTAATATAATATTATAAATCGACTGAGTTTTAGGCACTGCCAAGACATGTTTAGATTTAATGATATAGAAATTTATAAAAGATACTATCTACCACCTAAAAATGTATTAATCAAAATAAAGAAAAAGTTTTAAGCCCGAAAATACAAAGAGTTGTTTTTCAGATTCCTTGAAAATATATCCCAATATAAATGAAAATGTCTTTACTATGAACACTTCGACTGGAATTTTTCGATTGCAAGGGGTGGGTTATCAATTTATTCGCTCTTTAAATAGTCAAATTACTTTATTAAAACCAGAAAAATACATGTCATAGATACATCTTTTATTGAGTAATATTAATGGACCAAAACACGATTCATTGCACTTCACTCGATCTAAAAAAAAAAACGAAGAAATGTCGTTTTTAATACCATTTTTCGTTTTACATCGTAATTAGAGCACGAAATTGTATTATTTACTTAAAGATAAAATTGCACGTACTTAAAGGTAAACGTATTATAAAGTGATTTTAATGGATAATTTTGAGTTCGGCTCATAGCTCACGGCTTAGTCTGAGATCTATAGACCGTCCTCTGACTTTGTTCAGACTTTACTTTAGCGCTAAGATGACGTCGGTATTTATCATGAAGCAAATACAAATATACTTTGTATTAGCTTCATGGTATTTACAGAGCTAACTTTGAAGTCGTGCTGAGTGCGCGCTTAGCAAAGCCTAACTAAGTCAACGAAATCGACAACTTACGTAGAACTCAGGATATTATTCAAATCCACCGTATTAATATTTAAATTGTTGTTTTTATGTTACTCTAATTATTTATAACAATAAATAAGTAGTTTTAGGCCGTCTTCTGATTTTAAATAGCATCAATCTATTTTCTATCAACGTAATTTCAAACTTATTTCGAATTTCTCAAAATCTTAATTTTTTCCTGACTGCACTCTACTCGTACGTTCCCGTTCTCATACACGCATTTTCTATTGCATTTAATAGTAACTTATTTATGAAATACAACTTGGACTGTCTTCGATTTTTAAATATTATTTTTTGTTGTGTAGAACGAAGCATCCATTAATTTTTTAACTGTCTGGGCGTTAGCATAAAGCTTAGCTTAATTTTAGTCCGATACCAATATAAATTCAGAATCAAAGATTATGCTAAGCATATACTAAGCTAAGTTTTTGGTAAGTCTGAGCAAAGTCAAAAGTCTATGGATTTCAGTCTAAGGCTGCGTTTCCACTAGAGATGTGCGAGGTCGCTGAGCGGTGCGAGGATGCGTAGAGGGCTCATATCAGATGCTAGCGGGGTAAGGAGTGGTGGGAGCGGAGCGGGCGCCACTGCCCGATACTTCTTACGTTATTCCCTAGCACGCATCCTTCGCAACACAACCTTCACACACATACTTCCCTTGTATTGTATGTACAATAATCTCGCTCCGCTGAGCCGTTTCCACTAGAGCTGTGCTGAGCGAGGCTAGGTAAATGAAGTGATTCTATTTGTTCTTAAACACATCGCTACGCATCCTCTCACATCACTTGTGGAAACGCAGCCTTAGTGTCCAGCCGGACGTCGTTAAGGTTAGACCTGTGCCAAGTTCTTTTTAGATACGATGCCCGCGCTTTTGAAAATTATATATAAAAAAACATCAAATTTGAAAAACATCTGGTGACCACAGTAACATATTATAAGTAAATTAGTACAACCATTATTGTTCCCGAAAATGTATTTCTATGAAATTTTGTAACAGTATAAGCGTACAGTACGACCACTACTGTAGCTGAAGAAATTTTAGTAATAGTGTCAAAGTTATTTTACTAAGTGTATGTAAACAAATAAACAGACTTTATTGCTTACAGTGCATCAATACCCCGCTCTGAGAAAAAGTACCTTGGCACAAAAATGCACACAAGAATAGTTAGTACGCCACGGCATTGATTGAGCATATGCAAATTGATTTTATTTCCATGCAAGTCATAGACATACAGACTTTGTTTTGATAATATCGAATATTTTTTCAGTTGACAAAGGTGTAAAATGTAAGTTTGACTTTGTGTTTTCTTTTTCAGAGAGATGGAACAAATTTAACAAAATTTTAAGCTGATGTACCTGGAAACTCCTTTCTTACACTAGATCCTCTAGCATTGAGAGCCGACTTATCGATTATGGTTGATAGTCATTTTCTAAGTCTCGATATGATGTGACCTTCATAGCAAAGAACTATATGTATAATTTATTAGGTTCATCAAAGTTTTCGTAATAGGAAACTTACCAATGAATTATAGAAATGTCTCCTATTTTATCGAATTTTAAATTCATTAGTTGGCCACTAACGAATTTAATTTAGGCCAGAAATAACTAAATTAAAAATTGTATCCAATTTTTTTTTTCAAAATTTATATTTGGCGGGAATGTGATTCGTATGCAAAATATAGAAACTAAAACTGGTGCGCTGAATTTAAACCTGGCAGAAAAACCTGCAATAACGACACTCGTTCCGGGCGGCCAACAACGGCCGCTAGGCAAGAAAACGTTAAAAAAATCGAAGAAATTGTTGAAATTGTTAAAGTAGATCAACTTGTGACTGTCTGTTATGTAGCTGTGATTCTACGGATTTCGTTTGAGAAAATTCAGTTTATTTTAACTCATACCTTAAAATTTAAAAAGGTGTCCGCGCGCTTGGTTCCTCGAATATTAACAGATGCCCAGAAGAAAGCATGTGTTGACATTTCAAAGCAATGTCCAGATTGTTTGCGCAGTTTCTTAACCGTAGATGAAACGTAAATACACCATTTTGACCCGGAGACGAGAAACCAACGCAAGGTGTGGAAAAAACCATTTTCCCCGCCAGCCAAAATATTCAAGGTGTCTGCGTCCGCTGGAAAAGAAATGGCCTCTGCCTTCTGGGTTGCGAACGGTATAATAATGATCGACTATTTAAGTAAAGAAGAAACGATAACCGGAGGTTATTACGCATCGTTAATCAAAAAGCTATGCTAAGAACTAAAGAAGGAATGTCGAGGAAAATTGCGCCCTGGAGTACTTTTTCATCATAATAATGCCCATGCCCATTGATCTGATATTGTTGGCGCTGCCATGCAAAATACTTGGTTTCAGTTAATGCAGCATTCACCATATTCTCCACCAGATAAAAACAATTTGTCATAAAAAGTCAGTTGCCTATGGTATTGAACAGGCCCTGCAGCAGATACAGCAGCAGAAGAACCTTATAAATATAAAGCCTTGTGGATTTTCGTTGACAAAACCTATCCTTTTATTGGAGCTGCGCCTGACGGAGTACTTGGTGATGACATGCTAGTAGAGGTGAAGTGTCCTATTACAGAATCCAAAAAAGGCATAATGAATGCAATTGAGGCAAATAAAATAAAAATATTGAAATATGATAAAAAATCTAACACCATAACAATTAACAAAAAAAGTGTTTTTTACTACCAGATACAGGGGCAACTATACGTGACCGAACGGTAAATCTGCTTGGAATTCGGGCGAATGAAAGTGAACCTATAAGTATTGAACGCATTTGAAAAGATGACAATTTTTGGAAGACGAAAATGAAACGAATAATAGTACAAATTTATTGAGAATGTTTAGTTGCCAGTAATAGTAAATCCGGTTTGCCGATTAGACATCTTTCATTACAATATATAGAAATCACTCTCGCAGCAAAAATCGAGCAATGATTCTCAACCGGGCCTTAGTACACGTCCACTGGGCTTCGTAGAATTTTGATTTGTTGGTTTGATACCCATACTCTCTTGATGTCATATGGTTCCAGCGCAGTTTTTATTTATTTTAATTTACCAAATGTTATTTTTTATGTTCTAATATTTTACTTTTCTTCTGAATGTTCTCTATTTCTTGTTTTATTATGTTACTGTGTCTGTGTTGTAACTTTACAAATACATTTCTGTGAAGAACCTACCGGGCTGTGTAGTAGAGGTTAAGAATAATCATTATCCTATATAATCCCTTGGGTGTCGTAAGAGGCGACATAGGGAAAAAAGTCGGGAGATGAGCAGCAGCGCATCAGCAGCGTCTTCCTAATATGATTAAAATAAAAAATAAACTGCAAATGGTAACCGTGCCAACCCGCTTTCCAAGCACGGCAACTATGGCAAATATCACCGCTACGAAGCAATCTACAAGGGAGGCCTATGTTCAGCAGTGAACTTTAATAGGCTGAAACGGTAACGGAAAAATACCTTTGTTTCATTAATAAAATTAGTTGATTGTTAAAACTTCCATAAAGTGATGTTATATGTATATTTTATGCAATAATAAAAGTAAACTATTAAATAATAAAATGTAAATCTGACGAAATAAAGAAATCCTACCAAAGAAGAAAAGTATCAATTCAATTATTATATTATTCAATTCGTGGCGTGTATTTACCGCACGGAGTCCGTATAGAGTGAGTACCTATGGTTCGCGCCGCATCCTGAATAAATACGTCGTGCGTCGCGCTAAATAGCTTGAGCTGGGAAAACATTATAATTACCTACAGGTCTGGAATATCCTCCCCTTAAATTATAAATGCAAGAAAGATTTATTTTCGTTTTTGACTTACCATCTCTTCTTTTTGTAAATCCTGCTGTTTGTAATCGAGATCAGTGCCACATTGGCGCAGTGCGTTCTCCAAATTGTTGGAATATCCTGTATACTGAATGATATCCAAGAATTTAATTATGTTGGTGGCCGCCTCTTCTAAAACTTTATTCAACTGTTCCAGTAAATCGTTAGTTGTAGTGTATTCGTAGCATTCAAGACATCGTTCTACTTCAAACACTCCAGTTTCCTAAGCATATACATATTCATAATGAATGAAAATAATACAACATTATGTGACTTTACACTAATGTAAAGTACAATATTAAAGCCTTTTTAGGCCGTACAACGCATCTACAATTCCTCTGCTGTTGCAATTGTTTACGGGCGACAGTATAGTCGCTTACCATCGGGTGAGCCGCATGCTCATTTGCTCCCTCTTTTATAAAAACTCAACTATCGTCAGACCATGATACTTATTAAATTATCTGAAGACTGCAAAACTTACATTTTAAACTTAGTTTTCTTAATATTATAAATGTCAAAACGTATGGTATTTATTTTCTGAAGAAATAAACGGATTATTTTTTGGATTTTTCTGGAGATTTCTATTTTCACACTAATTAACATTCCAATCGTTACGATAACAATAAATTCGCCAAATTTTAAAGAGTTAGGTACTCGTGAGTTCACATAAATGTGATGATGCTTTAAAATGGGGGTTTTGTGGCGCATTGCATTGAGTGGCGGCCCCGAGGGATGCGTGTTGCAATCTCGGACACATAATACAGATAATTGTTCCGGGTTTGGATAATTATCCATGTGCAATTTATGTTTGTAAGATTCCTCTGTAATACAAACATCCTAGTGTGGGGCTAACATTTTTGAAGTAGGAACATAGGAAATGTCTAAAAAGTATCTAAGCAGCTTTTTGCTTTTGCTTGAAGTCTTCAAAGTCTAAATTATTCAAGAAAAGTGCTTCTTCAAGCTTCGGTGACACATATGGTAAAAAATAGATCCGAATACGCCAATCCACACTCACCACTGGTAATGGAAAACAGCATCAGTGCGTTTGGCAACATGCTCGTTCATGTGTTGAGTAGTGGAAACCTTTTAAGAAAAATGTCATCTGATGTTTATTTTCATTTGAATATATTTCGTCGTATTTAGAAGGAGAGAAGGTTGATAAAGAGAAGGCAAAAACGGAACACTATGACCTGGTCACTGGTAACATCATCAGGCCTAGACTAGATACTACGTAGACTGCCTAATGGTAGAAATGTGGCGCACTTACAGAGAAATAATTAGACATAGTTGCTTAGTAAGACAGTTTAGGTACTGATCTTACAGTATCAGATATCTTCCACTATTCACAGTTATTGTGCCAGTTATAACTGCTATTCTGTTCGGATTATATCTTACTAGATTGTTGTAAAATTAATGAATATATATTTCATCACTTGGAGATTTCTTTGAAATGACTCTTTTTGTGGTAATGGATGCCACAGCGCTGTTAAAATTGGATTATTGATCAAATTTAAACTGTTACCCTCATTCATATCTACGAGTACAGTAAGATTTTCGTTACGAACAATAATTTGAGGACTTTTAAGAGAATCTCTTATCCAATGGTTGGTAAGAGATCTAAAGGAAAAGCTAGAAAGATCTTAAGCTTTCGAAACACCTTGAATATACTATGTATATAAAATTCCCGGACCTGTGACGGGCAGCAGCACCGAAGTAGCGAGATATCTAATATTATGATCGCCAATTCACCTGGTAAGCATGACGTTGCAACCCTCCATTTTATACACGTTGTTTATGTCCAGCAGTTAAACTTTAGGGGCTGTTAAAGAGGAGACATAAGAAGTCATTAGATAATTAAGAGAAACGCTCACTTACAATACAATGTACAATTGAATTAACCATATTGTTTCTGTACATTCTGAATCTGAAATCCGGCAGCCGTGCAGCCAATTGGAGTACGGGCATTGCGTTAGAAAATTCAATGTGACCATACACGCTGGAACTTCTCGTTATATCCAGGCACCCCGTGTAATGAAGCTTACGTTGCTCTAAATAAAACAGCATTCTTTTAGTTTATATGTGTATCGTTGGCAAAATGAATTTAATTCACTTTTAAAACACTCACTAATCTCCTCCATCATTATTAAGAACTCTGAAAAACAAAATAATTGTTTAGGTTGTATACTGTAAAAAAAATTGTTAAATATTTAAAGAATGAGCATACATAACTACAATATTCGTTTACAATATTCATTAATCTATCGATTTTACTATTATCTTGTTTTCTTTCAAGTTTTGCCAACTACTTGTTTCTGACACGCTTAGGATGAGTAGAGAAGGCGTGTATAACAGTCTTAAATAGTCAAATACTGACATTGCTTAATAAAAGTATCGCTTAATCATGTACTTCACAGGTTGTGTCAAAACCATGTTTAAATTGGTGGCAATACACTTAATTAAGCGGCAAAAATAATACAGGAAATACTCACACTACGTTACACAGACTAATAACCAGAACTCAATTTTCAAGAATTTCAAAATAATATGACTAATAAATGTTTTTTAAATTATACTGAACCTTCATCAGCTCTGTGTTCGCAGTAGATGTCGCCAATAGTGATGGCAATGCCGCAAGTCTTTGATACTATTTGACTATCGACCATTGATACTTCCATGATAGGACAAAAGATACAAAAGTCTTCGGATGTCCAAAGATCTTCCTAAAATATTGAATAATGCATTTAAAACAAGTGTATAACAAAGAAGTAACTTGCTATTTTTTTTTATTTGTGCTCTATTTATACTATTGGAAGAAATGAATAAAATAATTCATAAAACCTCAACCTTAAGCGGTTCATTAAGTCCAAGGCTAAAGTAAGAAAACTAGGTGTCCTTACAAATGTGCGGCGGTAAGTCACACTAGCTCAGTTTCTTACCCTAACCTAAACCTACAAAGCGCGAGTCCGGTCGAGCGTAGAATACTGCTGGCAGATGCTGCAAACTACCCCCTAACATTGGATTCAGTTGGTAGGCGTTCTAGGCGTATAGTTATGGTAATGGCTGAACACCAACATAACCACACGCCGATTATTAAATGTTAATAATTTAACCTATATAACAATCAAGTCTGGCAACATGGCCGGGATGTACAGGTACAAAATTACGATTAACACGGACAACGTAACGTTTATCGAGATATGCCATTATTTTTGGATCATAATTTAGTAACTAAATAAAAGCATTGTTTCGATATGGCAACATGAGAGTTAATTCTGGAATTTTATTTTAATGTGGAATTGTACCCGCGACGTAACCTCTTTGTACAGTGCTCCAGAACTTTTGTTGATATTGTTTGAAATACTGAATTTAGGTATCTATATTTTTGTTATAAGGTAATATTAATTGAGAGCCGTGGTAGCTGAGATGGTTAGCGCTCGCTGTAAGCTTCACAGTACTCGAGCAACCCGGGTTCGATCCCCGCCGGCACCAATGAAATCGTTAATTGCAATTTTAAGTGCTGATTTACCACGTGCTCGGCGGTGAAGGAAAACATTGTGAGGAAACCTGCATGTCTGAGAAATAAGAAAAAAAAATATTTTGAAGACATGTGAAGTTCGCCAACACGCATTGGGGCAGCGCGGCGGACATTACCTTGCCCTAAAACCCTCTCATAAATGAGAGAAGGCCTGTGCCCAGCAGTGGGACGTATATAGGCTGCAACTTTACTTTACTTTAATATTAATTGTTAGGAAATGTAATATTTCGTTTTTAACATGGAGGTCTTAATATCTATACAAATAAATAAAATTGAAGTGTCATTTTGTAATGTTAAAATTACAGCTTTTTACAAAATGCATATGAAAGTAAATACGGTACTTATACCTAACTAAAATACAATTTTTAAAATTTTTTCTGTCTGTCCGTCTGCTTTTTTCGGCTAATCTCCGAAACAGCTGGACCGATTTTGACGGGACTTTCACTGGCAGATAGCTGATGTCATAAGGAGTAACTTAGGCTACTTTTATTTTAGAAAAATAATCATGGTTCCGTGCCAAAAAAAACGCGACACGCGAGCGAAGTCGCGGGAACAGCTAGTATAACTATAAAACTGACTAGGCAAAGTTACCATACTAATGATGCTACTATGTGACGGTTACTTTGCCGCCATGTTTTGCTACCTACTGCCAAGGGTTGTCACTTTAAACCTATATTTTTAACCGATTACGGCGATTCAAAGAAAAGATTCTACATATATACCTGACATTCTATGTATGTATGTTTGTATAGATGTTTCATCGTAGCAGCCTATTAGACCGATTTTTACCTAATGTATTGTCAATCGATACATCTTTATAAAAAGTGAAGGAAAATAAAAGAGAAAATCTATATTATTTTACTGCGTTGTCGGGTATTATTAACATTATTACTACTCAGTGTTTTTCATATTTTGAACTTAATGTGTTGATACTCATTTGCATCCTAAAAACAGTGTAATTTTTAATAATTATAAATGTTTTGCTATTGTGGAAAAGCAATATTTAGGTTCATTATAAATATTTTTTTACGTGATCGTAATTAAATGATAATGATGACTAATAAAAAACGATCACTTTTTTAAAACGGTTGTGACAAGCTTTATTTGAGATCTTTACTATAATTAAGTTTATTATTACACTAATTGGATTTTTAGATTAAGACGAGAGTTTTTTTTTTGTTTGTTATATATTTTAGATTTATGTCTAAGAAAATATGTGACAAGATTGAATAAAAATTGTATCGTAATTGTGTACACGTGTACGAAGTGCAACTTCTTTACAACATATCCTTCTTCGTTTGTTTAATATTTTACATAAATAGGTTAATACTCTACTACTAAAGTTACAAGAAAACGTCACGTTTTTTAATATTGTACAAAATTTCGATAAAGAAATTTAACTTCAAACATTTAGTAAAGTACTTAATCAAGGTTTATTGACAACCCTGATACATATTTTCAAGTTTGTATAAAAATCGAATAATGGGTGAGCAACTTCGTCACTAGCGTAAACTTTGTTACTTGCAAGTTGCAACACAACTAAAGGAGAAAATCATAAGTTTGAGTTTTGTGCATTATATTATGTTGTAAACTTACCTTCATTCTTGAAGTCAAATCCTATAATTTTTATTAAAAATCCCGTTAGAAAAGTTGCCACAAAGTGATGATAACTTTGCCAATAAAAACTTTGTTATGCTAACTACAAACCAAATAACAAATCTATGAAGAATATAATGTCACATTGACGCCCAGTCTGAGACAGCGTTGCTAACTCTACGAATTTTTCCGTAGATCTACGGAATTTATTCATCGTCTACGGAACTACGGATTGAGTTGAAATCTACGTAATTTAATTTTCATGTTATTTAAGTTTTTGAAGTTATACTTCTTTTGGAGCGTTTGGGAAAAAATATGAGAGTGAATTTATACGAAGCACGCGTACACCGACACCTAAAAACGACACTATGAAGTTATTTCGATGCGCGCGCACACTGTCACCTAAAATCGACAACTTCAATGGGTAATTGACTCTCAAGTTTTTTTGTTTTGATACGATAAAGAAGTATAACTTCCTACGTGAGTACATAGGAACACAAAAACTTTTTTTTGTACTTCATAGTCCTTTCAGAATAGTTAGATTGTTCAAAACTTAACAAAAAGAAAACATTTTTTAATATGAGTGTGAATTTAACCGACAACCGACAATCGAAAATTTTGACCATCGGAAAAACTGAATTTGACAGATAAGAAACGCGGATAGATATTCGTTTTTCAAATACTTAAAGGTGCATTTATTTGAATTTTGGATGAAATTTTTTTTGGATGGAATTCTACGGAAATTTTCATACCAATCTACGGATTTGAAAAATTTGAGTTGGTAACACTGGTCTGAGAGTATCTTTTATGGTGGAAAATTGGTCCTAGATTTTGAAGTCCTTCTAAAAATGGCAAATGGCATATAAATATGGATATTATTATAAGTACTTCTGTTGCGTCTGTTTGTGACGATGATTAAGAAAGGAATGTTCGGTGTTTTGGACACGTAGGAAGAATGAATATGGAAAAAGTAACAAATCAAATTCATGTTAACAGGAGTGACAGAGTTAGGAAGTGACACTGAAGTATAATATCGAACAAGTTGACGATATTTTTCAGACGGGACACGGGAAAAATTAATATTTTTTAAGATAGTATTACGTACGTAGATAATATATGAATGTGAAAAAAGCGAGAGTCTCTGTCTACCCCTCTGGGTGACGGGCGTGAGAGTTAACTTCATGTTATTATGTATTGACGATAATGATTGATTGAAATATAATATCAAATTTATTACAGGTCGAACATGGCCCACTGGCTCTACGTTAGTAGTCCTTATGTTCTGCTCGTAAAAAGGTACTATAGTCTTGAGAGCCAATAGTAAAGCCCCACGGTGATATGGTCCGTCTTCAGATGTAACTGATAAAGTATTAGCGCACGTATTTCCATACATATGTAGAAGGGATGGTCCAAATGTCGGTAGAAATCCTATAATGCAAAATAACAATACTTAATAAAAACACTAAAAAAATTTATTAAATTGTTGTTCTCAAAAACTAAAAACTTGTAAATTTTAACATTCAACCAACAAATTATTTTTTTGATCTTTCTTTAATAATAAATTCGTACGATAGTTTTTGTATTCAATACAGTAAAAAAAACATATTATTTCCCACGGACGTAAATACTGTTACTTCTATCGCTAAATATTTTTTAAAAACGCTAACCGTTTTCTCCGTCGTGCGATATTTGGCCCAACGTCAGATGAGCGCTCGAAAGAATTTTGTTGAAGCACCCATCCGCTGAGCACACATCGAAACGTATAAGTTGATTCATGTTAGGAAACATTTCCACCATTGAAATTTGCTCACAATACATGGGTTGATTGTTTCTTTGCTGAACAGCTGTCTTTGCCTGGTAAATATCATAAATTAAATACTTTTACGTATTTATTTAAAACTAAATTATCCAATGACTAATTTTAAATAAGGACGTGTATTAAAAAAGTAGCTAAAACAATCACTAAATCGTAATCAAAGTTTCTGATTTTAAAGCGATACATACGTATCTTCCATGCATGGTTTTAGGATCCCAATGACTAACGACTGTCTTAATGTCATGGATTGCATCAATTTGCAATCTAACTTTTTCTGCCGACTTCCAAAAAGTAGACGGTACTCAATACGACGCGTATGTTTTTCTATGTGTGTTACCTCATAACTTTTAAGTGGGTGAACCGATTTCGATGATTCTTTTTTTATATGAAAGCTGATACTTCTCGTGTGGTGGATATATATATATATATATATGTGTGTGTGTGTGTGTGTGTGTGTGTGTGTGTGTGTGTACTTTAGAAATTAAAAAAATAATACCACAAGTCCACAAAAAGACACTCTGACAAAGGTCGACGGAGGTTTTCCATAGCGTTTATCGCCATGACAGTGGGTTCCGTTAGGGAGACCGAAAGCACTAAATATCGTGATTAGATAATTGGCACGTTGTTGCTCAGAACCAATGGGAAGAAGTAGAGTACTGAAAAGGAATGAGTTAATGTTCAAAATATGTTTCACCTACGTACAGTATACACTTTCACTTAAGTTCCACGATATAATATATGATATTAAAAATATTAAAAGAAAGTCTTAAACTATTTAAAAAATCTTAAATCATTTCATCACGGTGAATGAGAAAAAACACTCAAAATTTAAAAAATACCGCACCATGAATTTTATTGTGTAATTTATATTGTCTTTCTTTCTTATTTAAAACGTTACCTCCACACTAGGATTTTCTCCCGTATCGTGGAGGCAGTGTACAAACATAAATTGCACAAGGACAAACATCCAGACCCGGAACAATTATTTGCAGGTCATACAAATACTTGCTCAACCCAGTAACTCATTGCTAAGCCACTGTGCCACGGAGCCGTCAAGTCTATTTAAAATTGGCAGTGAGACCTTTTGTTTTGATAGCAGACAAATATAAATAACGCTTCATTGGTAATTATAAGAGAGAAAAATTTAAACACTGTCTGCAATAATTCTTCTCCTCTTCAACAACCTTTTTATGTACATTGCTGTAGATAGACCACTCTAAGAATTTGTCTGCTGTTATTCATTACTAAGAACATTTGTCTATACTCTCCACGCAAAAACCCGAAGTGACTTTATAATAAAGAATGCCACCTTGCATCTTCAAAGCAGTTTATATTTTTTCTAAACTTATTAAATCTCATTTATTAAGTACAGAGTTTTATAACTAGTTATTTCATGTAGTAATAAGTAATAAATAATCACTCGTACTTATATCATGTTGTCATGTATGATTTTCTTAATTAATCATTTACCTTCAGTATACTGGCGAAATATGTAAATAATCAACTGATATTTTTATGTAGGTTGCATTATAAGTATCCTACTATTGTATCCTGACGAATATCTTAAAACTTTAACCATGAAACCAAGTAGAGTGCGTATTTGTTTTGTAATAATATAATGTATAATAATAAATACCACGCATTTATTTGCAGAAATTAATTATATTAAAGACTAGCTGTTCCCCGCGATTTCGCCCGCGTGTAATTTAGGGTTTCAATTTTTTTTTGCGAGGAACCCTAATTATTTTTCTAAAATAAAAGTAGCCTAAGTTACTCCTTATGAAATCAGCTATCTGCCAGTAAAAGTCCTGTCGAAATCGGTCGAGCCGTTTCGAAGATTAGCCGGAACAAACAAACAGACAGCAAGACAGACAAAAATTTTAAAAAGTGTATTTTTGTTATAAGTACCGTTTATACTTTCATATGCATTTTGTAAAAAGCTGTGATTATGACATTACAAACAGACACTTCTTTTTCATATTCTTTTAGTCTTATTAGAATAGAATTATTACATTTTATCTTATGTCTCATATTTGTAAGCAACGATTACCCAATACTACAATTACAGCAACTAGTTAATTTACATTTATTAAGGGTTAAAAACTCACTTTTCTGTTTTCTCTTCGATAGTGGTAGTAAATACAGGCATGACCTGCAGTTCACCTCTATATATGATGGATATATCCACTTTCAAAAATCCCACTGGTCCTGCGGCAGGATCACGAGGCAAGCACAATTGTGCCCACTTGTGAAATACTTGATGATCTAAGTAATGGCTTTTAATTTAGTCACGTTTATCTTCGAACTTAACTTATTATAGTAATAAAGCTATTTATAACCTTGAAAACTAACGGTGAAGCCATCCATCAGTCCATTAAATCACAAATTCTACAGCTAGATCTCCTAACAAGGGGAGTTATTGTCTTAATCACCACGCACTGCAGATGTTCCACCCATTGCTGTTTATTTTTACTCAAATAATGCTGGTATCTACAACCTGGATATGATTTAGAGGAAACCTAGTCAGATGATTTCGCTGCTATCAATTACAAATGCCATATCCTTTTGGTGAATGTCTAGAACTCGAACTACAGCAAGAGCTCCTTTTATTAATAAAGAGGAATTCTTAGACTTCAACAGCATTCAAATTTTGATTCTCAATAGAGGTAGACGTATGTGATTATGGACCACGTATCCACTTATCGTAAAGTGGACTATGTGATTATTTACCAACATTTTTGAATAAAATAATTAATGAAAAGGAGAAGGGTATAACAAAAGTGAATACAACAAAATTGCGAGTAGAGCATAATAAGTAGATTGTCCTTAAACTTGAAGGAATAAGATTAGGAGCCGGTGGTAGTTAGATTAGCAAACGGGTCATGATCTGCATATCGTGCTACAAACGCTGAATAAGTACTTAGAATGTCTACGCCTATATAAAAATATTATTACTATTTTACATCGTTAATTCATAGAGAACATAAAAAATGTATGGTAGTGAAAGTTGGGTGTGGCAGAAGAAGCACGAGAGTAGAATAAATGCTGTAGAAACGCAGTCATTAAGGAGTATGTTAGGGATGAATCTGAATGACAGAGTGAGAAATTTTGTGATAAGAGAAGAGTGTGGTTTGCAAGATGATGTTATGACCAGGATTAAGAAAGGAATGCTTCGGTGGTTTGGTCATGTAGAAAGAATGAATGAGGAAAGAGTGACAAGGCAAATTTATGTTGCAGAGGTGAACGGCAGAGTCTGGAAGGGACGCCCTAGGCGAAAGTTTATCGACCAAATTGGCGATATATTGAAAATGGGCCAAATCAAGGGTACCTTTAACCGACGAGCGTGTATGCGTAGGTACATGGATGTGGAATAAGCGAGAGGTGTGTCAGGATCATGTTAAATGGAAGTCCATAGTCTCTGCCTACCCCTCTGGGTGACGTGAGTGTTTATATAATATATATTTTATATTATATAATTCATAGAACGTAACGTAGGCATTTAACACGATTCCATCCTATTTAAGCATGAAAGCAGAGATTAAATATTACGCAATGGGATGTATTCAAATGTTATATTTAACTCGCTTTAAATTTCAGCGTTCGCGAGCAATCCGAGGTCGATCGCTGCCGGTACCAATGACATTGTTAATTGAAATACTAAACGCTGATTTAAGTACCATGTGCTCGGCGGTGAGGTGAAACGCGCGAAAAAAAAATGGGTAGCGCCACGGACACAACAAACGCCACACTGAAAGTTCTGCGCTCCTGGCCGTTCATTAATGTTTGAGTTTCCAATGTTATATTTTTTAAAGTTATGAAACTCATTGAATGATTAAAATATTTTTTAGCGCGTAGTCGCCTGTCAATTATTTTTATGACAAGTCAAAGTTCGTTATCCGTAGCAAAAATGAAATTACTGCGCGAAGATTTTAAGGCGATATTCTTTTACGATTTTAAAAGTTCAATCTATCCGCAAGATTGCACTACTTGTCTTCAAAATGTTTTTGGGAGGGAAGCACCTAATTTGAACAGCGTAAAGCGTTGGTGCGTAAAATTAGACCGTGGCCATGTTTCTCTCCAAATTTGTGAAGGTCAACCAAATTACGTCAACATTTAAAAGTAAGAAAACTTTGTTACCTTCGGATTCCTCATGAACTCACCCCAGAACAAAAACGGTCTTGAGTTTACGGTGTAAAAAAAGTTGTTAAATGAGGATCAAATGCTGTGTATGACATTGTGACAGGAGAAAAAACATGGATCAATTGTTACATTCCGGAAGGATAGTAATAGTCTTCTGTATGGGTGTTGGAAGGCGACAGCAAACCAACGAAATTGAGGCAGGCAAGAAGCGTGGGCAAAAAATTTATAGTTTTTTTTCCCAGTCGGATCCTATCTGCACGATCTCACTTGATGGGCAAAAGACTATTAATGCTAAGTGGTACACCACCATTAATTTGTTCAGTGTTTTGAGAAAGTTAGGGAAAAGAGGATAAAGAAGTGACATCCTATTGCTCCAAGACAATGTTCTCCAAACAATTGTTTCGACGCACACTGCGAACAAGAGAACGTCGTTTTTGGCTTCTGAAAAGGATCCATCCAGCACGCAATCTAAACCTTACAATATGCGATATTCCCGAAAATCAAAGATTTGATAAGAGGTTTGACATTTACAGAGCTAGAAGGAGCCGTGATATCTTTCAACCAGCACGTGGAAAAAATGCCCTAAAACCAATTGTCCTTATATTTTTATATAATCTGATACTTACTCGTATGATTAGACTTATATGACTGATATTGCAAGATTGGTGTATTGTCTAATAAAACAATACACCAATCTTGCAATATCAGTGAAAGTAGGTTAAGGAGCTAGTGCGGTGGCATTGGGGCCACCCTAAAGCAGCGTACATTATAATGATATAATCGTTAACCATAAATAAATTAAAATATAATATTAAAAGAATTAAACTAGAACGTTGGTCAAACCACTTATAACTGAGAACGTTGGTAAAAACTAAAAACCACTTTAGACTACAAAAATCAGTCAAAACTGTTTTTGACTGATTTTCGCAGTCAAAAGTTGTTTTGATCGGTCATGAGTTTTGACTGTAACATATACATAAATCTCATACGTGTCTGCGACCAAACAGTTCCAAGATCGATATTCGCTTCGCCGAGGAGACGTGGCGGTGCACAACATCTAGGCTCCATCACGGCGAGCCATAAACAGGTCTGCCGTATCTCTCGAATGCTCGCATACATCTCGAAAACGAAGTTCTAGAAAATTTTCAATTTATTTTAAATAATAGTGATGTGATGATCTTAATATTCTTATTTCTAAGTGTATAATAACTTTTTCCTTAGTAAGTACCTTTATTAAAAAAAAAGATTTTATAATTTAAACGAATAACTACTCTTCACACATTTATTTTAAAGTGAATTTATATAGATGAATAAAATATAATAGGACTACATAAAAAAATTTCCATTAGCAAGGAATATTTTTGTTGAGTATGATTTTTAAATATATTCACATTACAAATACATTGTGTCCATACATAACATAAAGTAGTATGAAAAAACAAGATAAAACTGGTGAAAGTACATATTTAATATAGTAGAAAACAATGTTATTATTAAGAAAGAGAATATTATTCAGATACGGATAAAAGAAACAAAAATGTCAAATTATATTCCGATAGAACATATAAAGATAAAATACGTTTTTGAACAGTCACAGTCCGTGTCCTTTTTAAAAATACTGACTTGTACGAGAATCTACAAAAGTACAATGATATTGGACTTGTCTTAATTAAAATGTAATGATATTATTCTATATTAGAGTTTACATCGCCTTCTTAATTATTTTCATAAGAAAGTAACACCTCAAAGAAAAACTAAGTGGTATGTCTCCTATTTTGTCTAGGAATATATCCATACCAAATCTAGGCTAGTACCATCCACTTGCCTGTTTTTTTTAAATGAAACTAAAAGACGTAAGGAAATAAAATTTCTATTTGTTTGTCAAATAATGTCATACTCAATTTCAAATCTCACGATCTAGAAATAAGTCCGAATGAGTTCGAATGAAATCTTTTTACTACGTTATTATTACTTCACTTTGTTGTACGTTCGACACAAACTTTGCAATTTATTTTTAACTAGCTTGACTATGAGCTCGTGACTTTAAACTTTAAATATACCTCAGAACTGGATCACAATGCAATATAAACTCAATGTCTTGTGTGTTCGGTACAAATTTAGCAATCTATTTTAAACTAACTTAAATTATATATTCAAAACTTTAAATATTGCTCAGGACTCGTAATTGGGTAAAAAGGGGTTGCCATTTTGATTTATAATTATTTATAATTTTTTTTCAATCTTTTTTTTTTGTAAGTCATTATTACAATAGCATAGTGCAGAATAGAAAACAATTCTAGACTCCATCGGTAACTGAAAGGTTCAAAATTAGGAGTACACCAGCATCTGTTCACAAATATGACGTGTTCGCGTAGTTCACGCAGGAAATATATTGTATTGTAATCACGAGTTCACAACTGATTTATGCAAACTTGTCAATTTTCAATATTATGCAATCATCATCATCATAACAGCCCTTCACAAGTTCACTACTGAACATAGGCCTCCCCCAAAGAATGCCACAAAGCACGGTGCTGAGCCACCTGCATCCATCGACTTCCTGCATGTCTTACCATATTGTCACTCCATCGAGTGATCCCCCCACGCCCTACATTTCGTTCGCTGGTACGAGGCCGCTACTCTAGAACCTTTTTTCCCCATCCGTTGTCGGTTCTTCGAGCTATATGACCGGCCCGTTGTCACTTCAGCTTACTGATGATTCGTTGGGCTATGTCGGTTACTCTGGTTCTACTGCGGATATCCTTATTTCTAAGTTTATCAAGCAGAGAAACGCCGAGCATAGCCCTCTCCATAGCACGCTGAGCTTCCTCATACGGCCAGCAGTGAAGTACCACGTCTCAGTTCCATAGGTCATCACTGGCAACACGCACTGGTTGTACATTCTCGTTTCGAATTTTGAGGTATACCTGACGAAAAGACGTGCCGTAATTTCCCGAACGCTGGCTAGTCGAGTTGAATCCGTCGATTGACCTCTCGGTCGAGGTTGGACTTCTAGTCGGACTGTTTGTCCCAGGTAAACATACATGTAAACAACTTCGAGCTTAGTGCTCCCAACAACTACTAGTATAGGTATGCAAGTAATGCCTTAAATTAAAAATGAATTGGAATCAATAAAGATCATTGCTGTAAATTGCAATCATAATACAAATTAATATTTAAATTACATTCACCCAATGTCGTTATTATATCAAATATTCATCCACTGTTTGTACGGTCGTTGTTGGAATTTCTTTAAGGCACAACAAAGACTGCTGGAGAAATAATTGACGTGTTGTTCTCTTCCATCATTATGAAATTAATAATATAAACAACACTAAACTGATCTTGTAATATTTTGTTGGGCAACAAAAACAATCGACATAAAATTTGGTTAAGATATCCGGATTTTTATCGATCCCTCGCAGGCGACAAAACGATAAAATTGTACAAATCAGAATAATAATAAAAAATGAAATACTTCTCGGTAGTACGGATCCATCATGTTCTTTCTGACACTAGTCCTATGCTTCTTCTTATCTAGAACAACGATGACATAAGAGTTTGCAGATTGTGGGTTGCTCCATGCTAGTTTTCGAGCTTCAAGAACGCTCACTGCTATCTGTAGGACATATATTACTTTTAAAATTTTATATATATCAGTTTTAGTACTACCAACATTTTAAAGATATCAATTTTTTTATTTCTTCGAACTTTAACGAAATAGGAATGGAATTCAGCCAAAAATCTTGTACTAATTGTTGCTTTAACGGCTTTAATGATGTAGAAGTTTAATAATATTCTGACATATTTAAAATACATAATATGATGTCACATAAAAAAAGTTCAATTGAACCGCGAAGGCTGCAATTTACATCGGGGCCTCACTGGTCCGCACGACACGACGCAGAGCATCCATTGTATTTCAAGCAAAAAGACAGGCCCGCGCTCCTACCAATAAGGGCCTGTAATAAATAATTTATAAGAATCGGCCTGTACATAACCTGAAAATACTGCGGCGTCGCTTCCGGATTGTAGTCGTTCTCGTTTCTGTAAGTTTGCTGCCTGGCAGGTTTTTGCTGGCAACTCTCCTCTGGTGACTTCGACCGCATGCTTTTGTACATTTTATAATGAATCAGTGCGTCGAAACTATGCAGGGCTCTTTGTATATAAATCAGACGGTACGACGAGTTTCTTTTACAACGTCATTGGAGGCAGGTTGATTGCTATGAATGACAATGAGAGTTTGACGGGTTTTGACGTGTTGGTTTTGGGATGTACGATTTTTTCTTCTTTATGATTAATCGACGCAGTATTTTTTATCGAAACCTTCTTGCTAACTGTATTTTAATTCTTCTGTTTGTTTCGCTTTTATTAAACAACAACTCAGATTTAATATTAAAGTATGTTAATGTTAGGTAATAAATAAATCGCCTTTACAATAGAAGAGCCCATGTCTAGCTAACATCGCTGAACAACTAAACTTAGATGGCTGTTTATAAAAATTAGGGCAGTACAGAGCTAAAGTAGATTTATAGCAATTTAATTATGCACACACACACACACACACACACACACACACACACACACACACACACACACACACACACACACACACACACACACACAGACATACACACACACACACACAAACACACACACACACATACACATATACGCGCAAACATATACACACGCATGCACACACACGCACGCACGCACGTACGCACGTACACACGCACGCACGCACACAGACACACACACACACACACACACACACATTACTAAAAATAAAAACTGCTGTTGCCAATCCGCTTGCCAATCTATGGGGGAGGTCTATGTTCAAGAGTGGACATTAAAAAGCTAATAACGGGGACGGTTCACACACATTAAACTCCAATTATATAAAATAAAATATTGATAAGTAATATGAAATTATTGGATAATTTACTACTGTGGCAACTATTATCGGACCCACTTTCATATACAGTATATGTGTATAACACACGATATATACAACATGTAACAAAAACCCTGTGGTTCCCGTTAAGTACGTTAGCAGGATCAGTATTCAAACGTATAGAAATAACTTTTTTTTTTAAACTCAAACAATAATTTTATTATACTTAACGGTAACGTTTTTGTTGTATATTGTGAATATATATATAAAAATTCCCAGAACACTCCTAAAAAGTGAAACCGTTCAAAAGATATATAACTCGGAACACTGGTAAATCAGCGCATGCCTCGTGAACCCATTAAAATGTTTGAAGCAGCTTCCCGTAGTAACATCTTTTTATCCCACTGCCCTAGAAAAAGCGTTATGTATTTCGAGTATAGGAATATATGTATTCTATTATATTGCTATGCGCTATGTTGCCTAAACGGTTTGATAGATTTTAACACATTTATAGACATGACATAGGTATGGTAGATATTCATATCAAATTCTTTATTATTTTTTTTTAAGTAAAATTTTTCGCAGACACAATCAGATTTTTTTGCAATTATTTTAACCTAAGGTTTTAACCTCAGACAAATGAGTATGATAATTTGTCCTAGTTTTTAACCTGTTGTAGGTTTTTTTAAAACTTTTACTTTTAAAAACTAAGCATTAATATATAAACGATACTTACTTAATACAATTTAATTATTTACAAATATTTTTAGCTTGTTAGTTGACTGGAACAAATATGTTTTGTATATATATATATATATATATATATATATTATATATATAAGCATTTTACTGTGTCATGGAGTCACGATGCAGCTACATTTTATAGATTTTTGGTAGAGCCATACTGCAGTTATCTAGTATAGTTGTAGCACGAATGGGTCGACTCGACCAGGGAGGACCACGCTCTCAGAGAATACCAGCGTAAAATAGCAGCTTAATGCTGCTGTGTTTCGTATGGTGGGAGTAGAAAACCGGAGACCCTTTTTACTGGAAACGAGGCATTTCATATTAGTCCTCACGGGTGACAACGCATTTGCATTTTGATTCGTATCGAGGATAGATGTAGATGTCTATGGGCCACAACAACTTACCATCCGGTGTACTGAGTGCTCGTCTGTCACCCTATCCTATAGAAGAAACTTAACTGCATGAATGGTACAAACAGTAGTTTAATACTTTTTCGTATGATGAGTATAGAGAACCGGAGATCTATTTTACGAACAACGAGGCATTCTATCTTTTTTCTCACGGATGACAACGCATCTACAGTTTGATTCTTAATCAAGGATAGATGTAAACGTCTATAGGGCACACCATCAGGTGGACTGTATTCTAGTTTGTTACCCTTATTATATAAAAAATTACCTCATGTAAAGATATTGGTAATGTTAGGGCAACAGTAACTTGGTAAATTAGCCCGCTTACGAGTAGCTCAGTTCTTCCTATAATTTTAGGTTTTCAGAGTTTGGGCGTTAAGGTAAACGGTGCTCCAACATTAACATTTATAAAATGCGACCACACTTGATAAAACCCGTATCCAGCTTACTCATCCGGAATCCATATATTTTGTGTGACTTTTTAAAACATGCTACGCGACGAGACCATAAGAACGATTCGATCGGTTCAATAATCACAGGCTGTGAGTCATTGCATTTTAGTCCTCAGAACTGACAGCGTATCCATTGCTTTCTTAGTTAAAAGTCCATAGACTGCAGTAGCCACTTAGCAACAGATGAACTATAAATTCGTTTGTCATTTCCGTTTTATCAAATACAAATACTGTCGTTAACAGTATTGCACATTTTCTACCGACTTCAAAAAGGAGACGGTACTCAATTCGACTGTATGTTTTTCGATGATTCTTTCTTTATTTGAAAGCTGGTGCTTCCCGTGTGGTCCCATATAAATTTGATCAAGGTGTGACCAATAGTTTTGAGTTATTCTTAATAATTTATATTAAAGTCGCTTCTACAAAATTTTAATTTTTATTATAATCTCCTAGTACCAGTTTCAGTTACTCTGCTTTTAAATCAACTCACAACATGATGCATAACTTGTTTGAGGACATTAAAAAATTTAAATATTTGAATATATTATATTCAATTTGCATGAAATCTTCCAATTTGTTTTCGGATTCTTTGAGGAACATAATATAATTTTATGATTCACATTAGTATTACGACTTTCTTGTGGAATCGATTACCATCAGCGATTTTTCCGGACCGATACGACTTAGGGACCTTCAAGAAAAGAGCGTACTCCTTTTTAAAAGGCCGGCAACGCATCTGCGATTCACTCCCTGGTGTTGCAGCTGTTCATGGGCGGCGGTAGTCACTTACCATCAGGTTAGTCGCATGCTCGTTTGCCCTCTCTCCTATAAAAAAAATAGTATTAATTCGAAACATTTATTGCCCGGCTCGGGTGGCAGCACATCAGATGGTAATGCGTTTTGCAAGTCCGTTTCTGCCTTAATACTGATCTGAGAGGTCCATTTCTTTGAATAATGTCGATTAATTGGTCATTTCTATATATACGTATAATACAAGCCTTGACCTCCTAATCAACGTTAAGGACCAACAGTACTTGTTAGGTAATCGGTACATTTTATGAAACTAAAACATTTCTTTACTGTAAAATAATAACAAATAGAACTGTGGTAGTTTAGGGGCTAAGTGCCCGCCATAAATATTATAGAATAGAATAGAATAATTTTGATTAAATACAGATTACAATAATTATATAATATAATAAAAATACGCATTGATAGTCATTTATGCTTTTACAACTGGTTCGGAAAAAACTTCGGTCCTACGAAGAATAAGAGAGAAACCCAACCGGATATTTTTTAAATATATAATTTACAATATAAAATTTTATACGATATGAAAAAAAAATTGAAAAAACATTAATATAATTTTTCGTCATGTGATTATCATTTAATCACCGTGTAGTGATGATGTAAGAACATCCCATTTTGTCCCGTGAGTGTCGTAAGAGGGTAGCAGCATCTTTCTGATAACATAACATAACCTGCCTGCCAAGCGTGGCAACCATGGCAAGAGCTCCCCTATGAGGCAATCAGTGGGAGAGGCCTATGTTAAGCAGTGGAATTTTATGCTATTTAGTAGTACTAGCTGACCAGACAGACGTTGTTCTGCCCTTTCCAACGACCATCTGCTTTCGTAAAAAAAAAACTCCTGAAACTAGCAATAAGAAAATTGAGGGTCACTTATCGGGATAAAAACTATCCTATCTCTCAAGTTGGATCAACTGCACACAGTGTGCAAAATTTCATTGAAATCAGTTCAGTAGTTTAGGAGTTCATCGCGGACAAACAGTGTGACACGTAATTTTTATATATAAAGATAATAACCCTTTATTAGATTAATAAAAATTTTAAACTTTTTGGTAGATAGGTCCCATATTTTCTGGGACTTTGTTGTAAAAGCGTATGTTTACATTGTCCCATGAATGAATTACTGACTCCTTGAACTTATATAACCTAACCCTTGACTGGTATAACTAGCTTGTGCTTGTTTCTAGTATTAACAGAATGTAGAACATTAATTTTAATAAAGCTATTTATGTTTTTTATAAAAAAAACCATTGTAATGTTCATGCATAAATAGGCAAGGAAAAATACTTAAACGAGAAACAAACATTTCTATGTCTAAAAATACTGTTTGCGAACACGCGACCTACAGCAAGCCAAACATCTTGTCACTAATGCTATCGAATTGTCAGTCGCTTCGGACTTGGAAGTCGGTCTTCTAGATATTTACCTGTTAAGCCACGTGTGGAAACGTTCGTAGCTCTTATCAGTCCATTGCTTTTTTATAAAACTGAAGTGACATATTTACAATATATGTGACGGCATGTGTCTAATGCAGTCCAAGGACACCTGAATGTAACTTCAAACAACGAAGGCTACAGTTGTGTTATCACCCCTGTGGACTAAGAATCACACACCCTGTAATTACACTGCCTCATTATACCGTGTGTGTGTGTGTGTCATTTAACCGCGGTGTTAGAATATCCACTACCTCATATCGTACCGTGGGTGTCGTAAGAGGTGACAAAGGGGAATTGAAACAGGTGGTGGGCAGCACTAGAGACGGTGTAAGAATATCGACAGAATGAACTGAAATAGACGATGGGTAGCAGCATCTTAATGAATACAACTCAAAGTAATAAAAAACTGCGGTTAACAAACCCGCTCGTCAACTATGCCACAATTCCCCCTACGGGGTAATCTATGGAGGAGGCCTGTGTTCAGCAGTGGCTGTAATGGATGAATGGATGGATTACACCGTTTAGACGTGAACACAGCAGTTCAAGCACTGTTATTTAGCGGCTGCAATAGGTAGGAGAGATGATGACCTATCCAGACTGACTATAGGTAGAGAGAGACCTAGTTGTAGCTTATTACAAAAGGTGGTATTAAAGCAAATAGTGCAGTTTACTTGTTTATAGTATCCTTTATGTTTTTAAACATAACCTCCCATACTAGGATATTGTCATATATCGTTGAAACGTTTTACATTCTCCAGATTTTTTTAAATAGGATAAGGGTGATAAACGGGCACACAGTCCACCGTGTAAGTGTTTGCTTTGGCCCATAGACATTTACATCTATCCTCAATTACGAATCAAAATGCAGACAACAGTTCAGTTTAAAATAAACAAACATCGAGACCCACAACAATTGTTTTGAAGGCCGTATAAACACTTGTACTCGTTGCAGCCAAACGTTAAGCCACGGTAACTTTTTATAACAACTTATTGAGGTTACTAAGTCCAGCGATTGATTATTTATGGGCCGTTCAATCACATTTGCTTTGTTTACGCAGAATGAGGGCTCTACCTAAAAGACATTTTGGCCCTCATTAAAATAACTATAGTCTTAACAAATGGCCCGATTCCTGGTCAATTTATACTCCATGCATGAATACGTCATTCAAAGATTTATCGATACAGACCGCATCGGAAGCTACCGAAAATCGCAAACCACGCCGTCTTGTTAAAATATCTTCACTAGATTTATAATGGGATGTCAATATTTTAATGATTACGAAATAACAAAATTTCTGACGGCTATCTTAACAGATTTTTGGATGATACAAACTAATATTTTAATATTATTTTTTTTATTTTATACATCAAAGAAAGATTGCATTGACTTTGATGACTTTGAAGTCATTAAAGTCAATGCATCATGAGATCAGTCATGAGAGTCGTCCATGTATATAAATGTCATTTTTTATTTATTATTCCAAACATGTCTCCACTCTAGGGTTTTCTCACATACACAAATTGCACAAGAACAGCTATCCCGATTCAGAACAATTATTTCTATATTTGCACTAATTACGAGTATGATTTCGTAATATGACAACGCTTATCCTTAGTGATTTAACATAGTTGACTACTGAGTCTTTGGTATGTTATATAATATGTAATATACGGGTTGGAACATATGTTTTGAATCCTAGTTCAAGATATAGCTTTTTTTTGTGATAATTGGAAATATGAGAGTTCATGAGTAATGAATATGAATTATTCTTTCTTTCTTTTTTAAATAGTTATTGGAAGATATAAAATTGGAGTTTAAAGCCGCACAATATTAAGGCATAAAAGAAAGCCAGAGTATTTGCAAGATTTTTTATGACACTGTAATAAATCATCATTCATCATTACAGCCTTCCAAAAGTCCACTGCCGAACACAGAAATTTCCCATAGATTGCCTCATAGCAGGAGCATTATAGTTGCTACTCTTAACCGGCGGGTTGACAACCGCAGTTTTTTAATTATTTTGAGCTGTTATCGACTGCTAGAGCTGCCTGTCTAAAACGACAAGCCTGTTTTTTCCCATTTTCACCTCTTACGACACTCACAAGATGATATAAGGACTACCTTATATCATTCACAAGGACTAATTATATCATTCACAAAGACTACCTTATATCATTCACAATGACTACCTTATATCATTCATAAAGACTACCTTATATCATTCACAAAGACTACCTTATATCATTCACAAGGACTACTTTATATCATTCACAAGGACTACCTTATATCATTCACAAAGACTACCTTATAGCATTCACAAAGACTACCTTATATTATTCACAAAGATTACCTTAATCATTCACAAGCACTATTTTATATCATTTACAAGGACTACCTTATATCATTCACAATGACTACCTTATATCATTCATAAAGACTACCTTATATCGTTCACAAAGACTACCTTATATCATTCACAAAGACTACCTTATATCATTCACAAGGACTACCTTATATCATTCACAAGTACTACCTTATATCATTCACAAAGACTACCTTATAGCATTCACAAAGACTACCTTATATCATTCACAAAGACTACCTTAATCATTCACAAGCACTATTTTATATCATTTACAAGGACTACCTTATATCATTCATAAGGACTACCTTATATCATTCACCAGGACTACCTTATATCATTCATAAGGACTACCTTATATCATTCACCAGGACTACCTTATATTCACAAGGACTACCTTATATCATTTACAAGGACTACCTTATATCATTCATAAGGACTACCTTATATCATTCACCAGGACTACCTTATATCATTCATAAGGACTACCTCATATCATTCACAAGGACTACATTATATCATTCACAAGGACTACCTTATATCATTCACAAGGACTACCTTATATCATTCACAAGAACTACCTTATATCATGCCGTGAATAGAGTTGTAGATATTTTACGAAGTCACTATTTTTTTTTTAGTTTGTTGTAAAATTATCGACTAAAGAATATAACGTCAGCAATATAACGATATAAAAAATAAAAAAAACAAAAATGAAGAGCAAAAATTTCGCGTTAAAAATCGGTTATTGTTGTTGTAATTTGTGTTTCATTTTTAAATAAAAAAACATAAAATTTTTGCAAGACCTCGTTTTATGATTTAATTTTCATGAACTGAAGTGATAAGAATGACTTTAGCGACAATACTACTGTAGAGTATTCTTCGACTCTATACATATAAAAAAATTAAATAATATAATTTCGAAATAACCGCCTTTTATTAAGCTCAGGGGTTATTTTCATGCCCGTAAGACATGTTTAACCATTTCTGAATATATTGTCTCTGCCTGTCTGTCCACGTTCTTCGATCTTCTAAATGGCTAAACCGGTGATGATAAAACTTCACGAACACATAGAGAGCAATGCCAGTAGTTATCAAGGCTATATTTTTACAAAAAAAAAAAACTTGAAGATATTTTTGTAAATCCAAGAAAAATTAAAAGTAGCGGTTTGCTACTCGTAGTTATATGTGTATTACAAACACTTACATAAAGAAATGCGAAAAATAGGGTTCGTTAAATAAAACATTATTGGCTTAATATTATTTCAATATATTATGAGTTTCATGTATAAATATGTTATGTACTAAGTTGCTAAATACATAGATAGGTGTTTAATACTAATATTAAGTGATAGTATATAGTATTTTAGTGTCCTTAAGCGATACTTTTCCATTTCACAATTTCCATGCAGATGTTATTCATTACTCCGAAGTGTTAAATCACAGTGATTTCGTGTATATTAACAATTATGCTAATTCGAGAATTTTATGTATATGTAAACAAAGAAAAAATGGAAACTAAAGTACTAATAATTTTTAACTTAGAACTTTAAATCATTCAAAGAATTGAAATTAGTAAATGCATCATTCTTTAATTGTTTGACACAACTTAAATAAATCGAATTATTTGATTTACGTTTCAACTATACAAACAAAAGACTGTGAGCTTTGATATCAATAACAAAATATTGGTATAATTAGTTAAAAAAAAAAAGATTTTGAATAGTTTAAATACGTGGATAGAATCTCAAAATCGAATTCATATTTTAAACGTAAACTCGTATAACACTTTATTAATTGCCTTGTGAATATATACCTGGCAACAGCTTTCTAATTTTCTTCTTATACATTTCTTTCCTATAACGACATCTGAACCTTTTTTTATACAATTTTCCAGTAACACTCATCTATAATTCTGCTGTAATTGGATACTGAGAAATTACAAACAACATACGTGTTGGCCACCAGCTATTTATTTATTAGCAACGGCTGCTATCACAGAGCAGTAAATGGAAATTTATAGCACTTATAAAATAAACAGATATTATATACCACTAATATGTAACATAGCCTCCAGACTGTTAACTTTTTATGTAAGGTAAATATCTAGGCAATAATTTTCATGTCAGTGAAAGAGGAAAGGCATAGCAAACCCAATTTGTAGGAAGTTATTTAGTACTACCCCATAAATGGTAACCTAATGAAACTTCAGCAATGTCGGTGTTGCAGATTCTTTATCAAGTAATTACATTTTTTTTCATTTATTTATAACATTTTAATAGGTACAAGGGTTACATCTATTTAACTTGCAAAAACCGTGAGGTTTGTCCGCAAGTTACATGACATAGTAATGTTTGTTTTAAGTTAACATACATTTAATCAAATAATATAACAACGCTCTGTTTTGACTACTGTGAAAGCGAATCCATTTGAAATGTGTCGAAAATTATGATAATGTTAATAAACATTTTTGCCTCAGTAAATTTCTTATTAAATTCTATAAGCTACGGTTGACTAGTATCACTTTATATACATAAATTCCTTAGGAAACATTTAAAATAATGTGGAATGTTACGAGTACATGTCATTATTTCTTAGACAATTAGCAATATTTAATTCTATATCCACACATGTTACACAATTATACGTTAAATATACAGAATAAATATTTTATACTCAATAATGGCATTAAGTGCCAAAAAGATGTAATTGTGCAGTTTACATTTTACACTTTCTCTCTTTCGCCTGACTGTCAGTATAGTTCATTGAAATTAATCGGATGTGGAGTATGAACTCTCATGTCGTCCAAAGGTTGTAAAGGTTCACCTACCATCATACTACTGGTAACGCTATTTGGTGGTACCGTCCCAGGTACTAAAGAAGCGTTTCCGGAATGTCCTGGATTACCGTTTGGGGTCATCGGACCGTGTTGATTGGATTCTTGCCTCATTATGTTTCGACGCCATTTAGCACGTGCGTTTTGAAACCAAACCTACATAAATTAATAAATTAGTTTTATAAAACCTTAAATATGGCACTTTAAAGTGTAGTTTTATAGGATGAAGTTGACAAACGAGCACACAGTCCAATTGATGGTAAGTGGTTTCTGTGGGCTATAGACAACTACATCTATCCTCGATGACGAATCAAAATACAGATGCGTGAGGACTAAGATGGAGTGCCTCGTTTATAGTAAAAAGGGTCTCCGGTTCTCTACACTCACCATACAAAACACAGCAGCGTTAAGCTGCTATTTTAAGCTGATATTGTGTGAGAGCGTGGTCCTTCTGCGGTCGAGCCGACCCATTTGTGTTACAACTATACCAGTAATATAGCTGCAGCATGGCTCTACCACGTAACAAAATTGTGTAATTTTAAGTATTGTAAAAAATAGAAATGATGTAGTAAATTTTTTTGGCCATAACTCTGTAGTTATACACTACTGTTAGTGTGGTATTTACTGAGTGGTTCGTGGGTCTAATTATCATGACGTCTCGAATACGAATCGCATGTTGTGACTAAAACAGTTATTAGATTTTTCTGTCGAGAAATTTTCAATAGCAGCCAAGAATTACTGATAATTCCTCGGCAAGTTGACGGTGATTCACTCGGTGCTCGGAAAGCACATAAAGCCATTGGTCCTGCGCCTTATCTCTCTTAGATTGTATCGGATTTTCGTGGCATCGTATTTTGAGAGTACTACTACGTATTACTATACCTACGCATACACTCCTACACTATAATCCTATACTGACCGCCGTGACCGAAATTCGGTCTGGAGGTCATTATTACTATAGTATTAATTTAATTCTTCTCTTTATCAAGATTGTTGGCTTTCGCATTAAAATTTACACAATAAATATTTTACAGTTACAAATAATATTTTTATGAATTTGCAAATAATAATAAAAAAATATGATAAACACTGTAACTGTCGGTAAAACGATTTTACAAGAACAATATTAAATACAAACCAGAATTCAAAATTCATCTTCGTAGATAATTTACCGCCGTTACAATAATTTTATCTAAACACTTTATAACTTGTTATATTTTAATGAAACAAACCTGCAAAACTCTCTTCGATAATCCTGTTTTTTGAGCCAGTTGTTTTAAATCTTTCGCGTCAGGATTCTGGTTGATTGCGAAGTAAGACTTCATAGTGCGTAACTGATGGTGCTTGAAACTGGTGCGCATACGCTTAGTGCGCTGTGTGTGACTTGACACGCTACCAGGAGAAGCTACAGAGGAGTCGTAGGCCAATGATTCCATCGATGAAGACAGATCACCTCTGTGAAGGATATCTTAAACAAAAGACGTTGTATTAATATATAATATAATATAAAATAAATTTAATTTTAGGAAGTATTTTCTATATGCATTATCAGGTTTAAATATATTAAATTAACCCGCTCAGTATAGATTTCAAACTAATTTTTAAAAAAAAGATAAACCGACTTAAAAACTAAAAAAAATATCCAAGCAACAGTTCCTGAAGTCAGTGATAAGATGTAGTATGTACTACTATTATGCTACTGTATCCTACCGGATACTCCTAGATTTCGTAGGTCAAAGTATTTAAATTAAGTATTTTTTTTTGATCAAAGGTTTTCTTACTTTGTTTTCTTTTCATACTTCTGATTCTTGCTAAATTGTGAAAAGTGGATGACTGTTATTTGCCCTATGTAAAGGCATGTTATACAACGCGCAGCAACAATGGTGACTTTAATTTAACACACATATACGTTTTTACATTTTCCTTTCATAAAGAAATATATATATATATATATATATATAGAATAGAATATTTTTTATACAATATAGATCACATGTGTAATTCTTATTGAAACCTCTGTCCTGGGAAGAACCAGCAAGAAACCCAGAGGGACTTTTTTTTAAAGCAAATTTTACAATAATAAGTACAAAATTTATTTTAGAAACAGCTTGGCAGCGATCACCTCATTCCCAGGGGTTATTATGAACCATGTATTCATTTATACTATAATAACCCTTTTTATACAGTTTCAACTTAACAAAACATTTAAACTTGCTAATAGAGAGAGCCTGTACACTTTTCGGGACCTTGTTGCAATAGCGTATACCCCAAGAATGAATTACTGGCTCTGTGGAGTCGAGAAACTGGTATCACTAGCTTGTGTTTGTTTCTAGTGTTTACAGAATGCACATCACTTTTTTTATTAAAATATATATTATCAGTGTACTAGCGAGCAGATCGGATTCACCAATGTTAGGGCGTTGGATAAATCTGCATACTGTTAGACACGCCACGACCTAGAGTAGTATTTTAATTATAATTTTAATTTTAAATGTAATTTTATTTAATGTTTTATATTTATTAATTTTAATTTTCTTTAATGTTATAGGTATTTAGATTATAATTTTTTACCAAATATGGATAATTGGTCTGAAATAAATGAATTATTATTATTATAATTAAACAACTTACCATCAGCGGGTGTCGTAAGAGACAACAGAGGGAAATAAAACAGGAGATGTGCAGTAGTATCTTTCTGATTACAACTCAAAGTAATAAAAAAATGCGGTTGTCCACTCTCCAGCCAAGCGTAGAAACTAAGGTTAATATCCAATGAGGCAATTAATATGGCAGGCCTTTATTTTCTGTTACATGGGCTAATGCTTACGCATACCCGCCTCCCGGTGGCAAGGACGGGTTATGTCGGACTCGCGCCGACTAAAACCACATGGTGTTCCACCTTCGTCGCATATTGGCCACGGGAACGCTTCCGAACACATCCGCGGCTCCAATTAGGGCAATTAATAGGGCAGGCCTATGTTAAGCAGTGGACTTTTGATAGACCGTAATGAACTAAATGATGGATAAATAAAACTAGCTGATTAACCAATATCCGCTGTATGAAATCGGCCAATCAAAATTTAAAGAGTTAACTGTGAGCCGTCTGCGCTTCATCTCAATTGTAGCGTGTCGCCTGTCTATGCCACATCCGAAACTTTTTTCTATCGCCATTGTTGGTGACAGGAAGCAAGAAGATTAGTGGCTCGGTCGATTGCGGATTAAGGCATTGTGGTTGTCTTACTTACGAGCCAATTTCAATACTCTCCATTAATTTTTTTTTTGCGAAAATGTAAACTATTTCCGATATGAGTATGAAACTGTTTGATAGCGAGGCTCACCGGTTATGATATGCCAACAGTTATATCATAACCGTTCTGCCTCACTATCACTAATTTTGTGTGTCACTTTAGTTTTATAAAAGAAAACTATAATTATAAATTAAAAAATAATATTGTGAAAAAAAAAATTGTTATAGAAACGCTATGAGAAACTACGATGATCTGTTTAAGGGTAGCTACACTACAATTAAGATAAAGGAACTCCAGTATGTCGTGCCGAGAGATGGAAGCAAAACAATCATCACTCTATTTCACTTCTTGGTCGTTTGAAGCGACTAGAGGAAAGATCAGCAAGAACTTTTATAGAACAAGGTTCACTTCTTTGTACATGACAGATTTAAAATACCCAGACCGGCAATTAGTGACGTTAGAAAAACGAAACATTTAATCTGCTCACACCGCCAATCACCAATCTGACTGATGGGATTCGTGATTCCGATTAATCATTCCTACAAAAGGAAAAGCCAGTGTTCAACAATGAGCTGCTTCTGGTAATGACAGAAGAAAAGGTAATTTTCAGTACATATCTACGAGTAAATTGTATTGTAATACGTTAAAGAACTTAGAACCTTCTGTATTAGGCCTAAATAATGATTGATTAAGGAGTCAGCGATGCTGCGTTTATATGATTGTCCTTATATTTTGTGCACGGTACAAGAAATCATAACCTGCCACACCTGATAGCTGTCACCCAGAAGGGTTAGCACAGATTACGAACTTCTACTGAAACAATAAGGACTAATAATTTCACGCTCACCAGAAGTCGCTAGTTGGGTGTGAGGTAAACTTATTAACAATTACTTTAATTACACTTATAAACACAATGTCATTATAATTCAGAAATTAGGTTTTAAATTTAACTTTATCGGTTTCTAGAAAGTGTAAATACACAAGACAGCGTCATTGGTTTACTCTATAAATTTATGCACATTTTATTTACTCTTTTTCTAATATTGCTACTTTTATGAATATCCGTAGTTTGATTTGACCGTTTTTACTCTAATTAACATAAAATATAAGTAACATTTTGAAAATAAACATAAACCCTTACATTTTTCGAACGAATTATGTTTCTCCGTGAAATCTATCAAATATTCACATCATTCCAAAGTGGACTGATGTGAATATCTGCCCTGGTGGCAGAAAAAGTCGTGGACACCATCATTCTCTTGTATCTTTTTCACATCCTTCACCTACCCAAGAAAACAGGCTAAGTACAAAAACTCTTCTCGCAAACTTTTTTTTATATACAAATATGTGCAAGAATTTCTAGTGTATAGCGAATGCGCTTTATACTTAAATGTAAATATAAAGAGTTTGTTATTTGTTGAATTGAAAAGTGGCAGGACACTCATGTCATTCAAAATACTTTTCAATACTTGATGCGAAAAATTACCTCACCAAATTGTTCAATTTGTAATATTATCGATGATGTTTATCACATTTTGATAGAATGTGCCCAGAACTCAAGAGAAAGAGCAAATTGTAATTTACATTTGTCCTTAATTAGTAGTAATAATAGTATTCTATCAGACCCGTTATCAGATGATGCCAAAAAACTGTGTTTGTTAGTTAATAAGAGATTAAGTAACTAGTAAACATAATAAGTTTATTTGTTAGTAATTATATTTAAGATTATTTTGTAACTACCAGGGCGGCATAATCGCATCAGCGACAAAGCCCTTTTATATATGAATAAAAAAAACTTTTCAGGGGCGGACTAAAAAAAATATTTCTATAGAAGTTGTATGGGAATATAGTGTAACGACGTTATAGTTTTCAGTCAGTCAAAGCCTAAAGTCATCTTATTTGTATAATATTAAATATTAAACATAAACATATAGTTTAACTTAAAATGGAGAACCGACTAAGTTATATGACACTACTAAAAGTTGCAAATTCAAACTGGTTTATATAGTATACTTGTTTATTAAAGATGATTAATTTTGAATATAATCGCCGTGTAGTGGTGACGTAAGATAATCCATTACCCCATATCATACCGTGGGTGACATAAGAGGCAACTAGGGAAACTGAAACAGGAGGTAGTCAGCAGTTACTTCCAAATGAAAACTGAAGATAGTAAAAAAACTGAGGTTATCAATGAGCCTGCCAAAACCGGCAATATTGGGAAAGACTCATGTTCAGCAGTGGACTTTGTGTTGTAATAATGATAATGTTGATAAATTTAACTATTAATTAACAAAAGCAGCCAAGTGCTGCTTTTGTTAATTTATAGTTAAAGCTTGTACGTGGTACAGCCATGCTGCAGCTATATTTCGGGTATAGTTGTAGCACGAATGGGTCGGCTCGACCGGGGAAGAACCACGCTCTCACAGAATACCAGCGTTAAATAGCAGCTTAACACTGCTGTGTTTCGTATGGTGAGTGCAGAGAACCGGAGACCCTATTTACTGGAAAAAAGGCATTCCATCTTAGTCCTCACGGGTGACAACGCATCTGCATTTTGATTCGCAAACGAGGATAGATGTAGATGTCTATGGGCCACAGCAACCACTTACCATCAGGTGGACTGTGTGCTCGTTTGTCACCCTATCCTATAAAAAAAAGTGCGTGTCGGGCCACGCACAATGTAGGGTTCCGTAGTTTCCCGTTACAATACATGAAGTTAGAGAATTTCGAAAATCCTTTTGGTACTATCAGCATATTAAGATACCGCTACATCGACTAAAATGGGCTTAAATAGGACAATGGTAACTAGACTTATTTTTCAAGGAGACTTGTAGGTGTAGTAGTATTAAAAAAAACTTTTCGATTGTGAAAATAATATAATCTACATCAAATAATACACTTGGCAAGTCTATACAAAAACCCTATCCATAAATCAGTTCCCGGCAGTGCAGTTGTCAGATATTATATATGATCGTAACGAACCTTCCCCCGAACTATCACTGCTCTAAAATGTCCTGAGAGTCACCCGCGTATTCCAAGAGAACCACAAATGAAACTGTAGCCCCAGAATAACTACTAACTAAAAAATAAGCGAAAGTGGTAATGTCAGGATCGGTCTCGATCGATCGATCTACACTGCCTACCCCGCAAAAGAAATAGTAATATATAGTTGTCATAACTCGTTTTCCTCAATAATATTAATTTTTTACAGTTTACA